TATTTATTGGAAATGTTGTGCCTTGGAAAATCCCTGAGCAGTGGCTCTCCTATGTTTTACTTTCCTCCCTTCTCCTTACACCTCTGAAACTACATCTCATAATTTTATCTGTGGCTTTGCCACCAATTTTGGACATGTCACTTTCTGGTGCCTAGGCTTTCCCAGAAGTAAGAGAATTATAAACCTAAGCCCATGTAGTTAAAAAACCTGTGGATAAGAAGAGATGTATTGAAATGAAGTGCTCACACATAAGTAGGAAGTGAATAGATGCCAAAGCTTGGGCCATTTCATTTCTATGAAGAGCATATTTATTAAATGTCTTCATTTGTCTTTTTAAAAGGTTTCCCTGTGAATAAGGGCTCCAAGGTGGACATAAGTCTATGGCATGAAAAGCCAATAACCAGCCCAGCCTCTCCAGCTCACAGATTCCTCACTAGAAGGTAAACAAAGCTGCATATTTTATTCTCTGCTTAATGTGCCTTGCATGTATCTAAAATAAAGAGCATCAATTCAGCATGGAGCCAGACTCAGGACAGTGGGTCTTCTAGACTTCACTTTCTTCTCATTGCATCTGTGAAATGACATTTCCTAATTTTATCTGTGGCTTCACCACTGATTTTGGGCACATCACTTCCCCTTCTGCTGCCTAGGCTTTTCCAGAAGTAAGAAAGGAAATATAAACCCGACTGTATGTAGTTGGAAGTCTGGGGATAACAAAGCTGGATGTATTATCCTCTGCTGGATGGGCCACACAGACTTAAAATAAATAGCCGGGATGGTGAGTTCCTGGAGCTGGTGGATTCCTGGGATCAGCAGATCCCTGGGAGCGGTCAGTGGATCCCGGGTTCAGTGGGTTCCTTGGGAGTAGTGATCCCGGAGAGCAGTGGGTCCCCCGGGAGCAGTGGATCCACGGGAGAGGTTGGTGGATTCCTGGGTCCAGTGGGTTCCTAGAAGTGGTGGATCCCTGGGCTTGCTGGATCTCCCAGGAGTGCTGGATCCCTGGCTCTGGTCGGTGGATCCTGGCTCCGGTGGATCCCAGTTCTGGTCAGTGGATCCTGGCTCCAGTCAGTGGATCCTGGGTCCAATCGGTGGATCCCAGCTCCAGTCGGTGGATCCCGGATCCGGTCGGTGGATCCCGGGTGGCTCCGGTGGATCCCAGCTCTGGTCGGTGGATCCCAGGTAGCTCCGGTGGATCCCAGGTGGCTCCGGTCAGTGGATCCCGGGTGGCTCCGATCGGTGGATCCCGGGTGGCTCCGGTGGATCCCGGGCCCGGTGGATCCCGGCCGCGCTGCCATGACGCTCTCCCGCCACCGGAGGGCGCCGCAGCCGCGGGCGCGGAGCGGGACGGAGCGAGCCCCTGGGTAAAGCTGCCCGGCCTCCTTCGGGCGGAGATTAATTAAAAAAATTAATTTCTAGTGATTGTGTTCACTCGCTTTGCTACAAAAGTAGGTGAAAGATTCCCACCAGTGCAGCTCTGTAGGTTGTGTGCGTGAGGAGCAACACCTGCTCACACACAGCACCTTTCCTCGCACAGCACTCGTGTGATTATCGTGGAAAACTGGTTTGGTAGCAGGAAGTGTAGAAAAAAGGATTACATTAATGTAGGTTGTTGTCAGCCTACGTTAATAAAATATTTAATGTAGACAGCAATCTTTGAATTTGGCCTGTCTTAGAGAGCAAACTGCCCCATTGGGTCCTCTCTGGTGACAGGGGACACCATGAAGGGACAATCATTAACTGCAGGTCAGAGCGTGTCCCTGCCCGGCCACAGAGAGGGACAAAGCCAGAGTTCCCACAGAGGCCGCACGACTCTGCAGGGAAGAGAATAAATCCCCTGAGCCCTGGAAGATTAAATATGACCTGGACATGCATAACCAAAGAAAGGACATATGTGCAGCAAACTGGCCACCGGGTCCCCAGTGTCCCGTTCAGAGACAAGGACAAGGAGTTGGCGCTGTGGGATCCTGCCCAGGCAGGAATGGCCTGGATCTGCTCCATGGGCACTCTGATGGTGCCTGGGAATGAGCTGGCTGGGCCAAACTACCTGCAGCTAAAGTTCTTTAGTGGGAAAAATAGTGTTTTTTCTCTTTTTAATTGAAGGTAGGATATTAGGCCCAGCATTCTTTTCAAGAATATTGTTCACAGCTTTACAGTGCAAAGTAACCAGGAGGAAAATGAAAACTGGGGCGATAAGTCCAGACAGATGAGCTTACCAAAGTTATGAGGAGTAATTACTGGAATTACCAAGAGTTAAACCCCTGTTCTTTGTGCACAACCACTACACTCACAAAAGTTGGGCTGATCTCTGCTCCGAGAGATCGGTTGCAAGGATTATGGAGCAGTTCTGTCACAGAGGATGGCAAATGTATAAAACATGAGCAGTGGGCACTCCGAGTGTGCAGCGGAGAGTCAGAGCTGTGTCTGCACTGCACCTTGGGGAGCACAGCCCAGCAGCTGTGGGCTCCATCACTCTTGTGCTGACAGCACCCAGACTCACAGGAATGGTGGTAGGTGCAGGATCCCCTGGGTGCAACAGGAACAGCCCCCACCTGTAAGGGACAAGCATCAAACCAAGGAGAAATAAGACAGATTGCAGCGATCTGCTGAACAATGCAATTACTGAGAAAGCAAAGCAGCCAGAGTCAAAAAGTCCTCAGAGCATCACCGAAAAAAACGCCAATAAAACCTCTCAGACAATAAATCACAACCCTCTTGCAAGTGCTGCTTCAAAAGATGAGGAGAGCTACTTGCAGATAAAATATCGCTGTATTTAGAGATTAGAAGTGGAAAGTGTGGCTGTATTGTGAATGACTCCAGACTCATCTCCTGGGCTGAGGGCTCCCTGTATTGCAGCAGCAGTGACAGTGAGGGGACAATCTAAGGGAAAGAGCACCCCATGCCTAGCCCTTCCATAGCTACTGGTAAAGTACCTAATTAGCACAAAGGCTCAGAGTAGAAGCCAGTCTTTTGTCCTCAGCTTTTACTTGTATATAATCTAAAGTCTGATTTAGCACCTCTCCTGAAGTCTGCACACTCAGAGGAAACAAAAGTGGATGAGTCCTTTGGCACACAGAGTGAGGCTCCCATGATTAAATTATTCCTAAAGTTGATCTGGTATCAACTGATTCACTACAGATCAAATCAGACAGAAAGCCACCAGATAAAGGAGCTCTAAGGAGGTGACTGAGGAACTTTGCAGGGCCATAATTTCTCCTTCTCCAGGAACATTTGCACTTTGAGTGCATGAACTCTCTGTGGGGAGTGTCAGCAGGCAGTGAAGGGAGCCTGTCTCTTAACTTGCACACAAACTTCACAGGCTGTGCTAACAGGAGGGGTCCATGCTGTGTTCTTGGCCTTGTAAACCTGTTTCTACAGAGCTCTCATTGATGTAGCTAGAGCTGGGCTAGAAAATGTGCTGGTAAAAGCAGCTGAGTCGGATCTGTGCTCAGACTTCCACTGCTAAGGAGTTAGGAGTCCACATTTGGCTACAACAGCCCAAGTTCTGTCTCTCCAATAGCTCATCTGAACAAAGCCACCTGTTAAAACTGACTGTGGGCTGGCCTCATTCACAAATACAAAGCATCCAGCACTCCAAACCCAGCGCTCTTGAGCATGACCTTCTCCATAGCCAGTTTCAACAGCACAGTTTGCTGTTTACATGTTTAATTATAGCTGAAAACAGCAGCTTGTGTTCATGCACGAAATCCTGCAGGTGCCTGTTTCCATAAGCAATGTTCCCATTTCATGCCCGGCTGCTCCCCCGTCCGCAGGGGCGGCTGGCGGAGGTTTGGAGGTTTGTTGCTGATGCAAATGACTCACTGATGGGAATTCTCCAAACTGCCAAAAGAAAATGTGTGGGCAATTCCATCTTATTTTGTTTCAGTTGCCTCTATAAGTGGTTACACTCTCGAGAGTCAAAAACATCATCAGGTTTTTGCTGTAAGTTCAGATTTGAAAGTGCTCTGGGTGGCTCCAGGGACTGGGACAGAGGGTGGTGGCTGGAGAGTCACCTGTTGGATCTGCCTCCTCCCGTGGACTCAGCAATGCTTTCTCTTCAGTGCAAACCCAAAGAGCCTCATCTGGGAGTTTTGGTGGTTTATGCAGAGCTGGCTGTGTCTGGAGGGCAGGTGTTGCTGACCCCTCCTGTGGAAACCCAGTGTTTTCTGTAGAATCTGCATTAATTTCTACTGATGCCCTTCCCAGGACACAAACCTTGGCATCAGTCTCCCCAAGCAGAGGAGGCATTTGCCAAAAGCCAAAGAGAACAGTGCCTAAAAAACCATCACAACACAATTGCAGAGACAAAACTCAGCACATTTAACCAATGAATATTAGAACTGTTTTGTAAGAAATCTCTGTTTCCTCTGTTCTTTCTCTCTCATGCACCTTTGCTCCCACTTTCTGAAGACTACATCCAAGACGCGTTAGTGGAAGCTGTACTAATCGTTTTAGCAGTTTCTGGGTCATGAAAAACAAAGAAAAGCTTATTAATGAGAAAAATGAAATAAGATTTCCCTAAGCTGATTGCTGATAAAAAAAAATTCCACGTTCATTTTTCTGTATAAAAAAGAAAACATCTGTCACCATTTCAGTGTCTCAGTGTCCCTGCGTGTGGTTCAGCTGAGGCTTGATCAATAAATGCCCATTTTCACACCTTCTTTCTTAATCTTTTTAGTTAAGCTCAGATAGTTGCAGACCAAAACAAAGTAAAATCAGCTAGCTGAGGTCTTCATCTGAGGGACTTGGAGCTGACAATGTTTTGAAATATTAAAGTATATGTATCACTCCCAGATCTTAGTTGGGCCACAGCCATGCTCAGCACAAGTCCCAGAAACACTAGAACAGAGTTCAGGACTTTGTGTTTCTAAACAGATTTCTTTGCCAAGGTTCAGAGCTGGATTGTGCAACCAAGTCCCAACAATGGCACGGATTGTACAATGCAGCCCCCATAAATTAAGCTTCCGCATTGCAAGGTTGTTGTTTGTGTTTGCCACCAGGTTGAAAAATACCCAGCAGTAATCAGAGTAGGTAAAAATGAGTGTTGTTAGCTTTCCTGACAGCATCAAGGTACAAGACAGAAGATTTTGTTCATTGCCAGGTATGACTTCTCAGGGAGCCTTTTGTTTCCATTTGACAAAATGTAATAGTTCTGTTTAAATGAAATAACCTTTTTTTTTTTAGGTTCAAAACATTGCTTTATACACATCTCAAAACCTTAGTAATTGTTGTTGTTACCTTGACACAGCCCGCAGGGAGAGCTCACAGCACGGAGGGATCAATGCGGATGTGAGACTGCTTTGAAAGTTCAGAACCAAGAGGAAATGGCCAACCCATCTCCTGGAGAGAGCCTGAGGATCTGGGACAGCCTGAGGATCTGGGACAGCCTGAGCTTCCAGCCCTCTGCCACTCTGAGCACTGGCAGCTTTGAGCAGGACTTGGGTAAGGTGACATCTCCCAGAGGGTCACTCAGTGCCCTCCCGAAATATTTCTTGTGCTGTGGCAATAGAATGAACAGTCCCTCATTGCAACAGAATTCTTGATGATGGTTCTGGCTAGGGCTGAAAAATCTTCTGGGGTGAGGGGGAATTTCAAATAGATAGTTCTCTTCCAGAATTCAAAGGTGAAAAAGGAGTGCTTGAAAAGTTGTCCTCTCAACATTCATGCACAATCTAAGAGATTATATGGAGTTATTATTAAAATTGCATAAAATGCAGAAGCTCTTTGCCTTTTCCATGCTGTGCTGTCACAGGTGTGAATTCAGCTCACTGTGACAGCTACAGGTGGAGCAAACCCCATTTAGCTCAGAGACATTTTCAGCACCTCACAGCTTCATCTGAAGGTCTCTGGGAGCCTTACAATTAACTCTTCATAATTACCCCATCCCAGCAGTGTGGGATATTGTCCTGCTTGGACAGCAAGAGACATCAAGGCACACCACATGGGCAGGGTGCAGGGAGAATGGAGGGATGTGCTGCAGGGTGCTCGGGGCTGGCCAGGGGTGCAGGGCATGGCCATGTCTGCCAGGAGCAGAGGTTTGCACGGAAACAAGAGAAAGTTTGTGGCTGAAAGGGTTAAAAGCCGACCAGTAGCGTGCAGACCTCTCTGTCTGAAGAGATCTCTGCCTGCTCCCACCAAACAGGAGCAGATGGTGCATTGTTTTAAGGGCTTTTCCGAGACAAAAGAACAAGATCAGATAACCTTTCCTCAAAGAGGGTACTTACAAAAAGCCTTTGCTCTTATTAAGGATTCTTCATTGTTTTCCTCACAACATTTTATACATCATATTGGATTTTGGGGTGGTGGAGAAGCCAGCATTGTTTACTGTGCTTCTCCCTCCCCCCCCAGTGACCAGGAGGGCATCTTAGACGATATGGCAGCAAGGCCGTTGTCTGAAGTGTTTTATCCTAAGCGAAAGACAACCTATTTATTTACTATTAATAACTGAGGGCCCCAATTCTGCAAGGCCCAGCCACCCACTATTCACCAGAGGAACAATAGGAGCTGCTGCCTCGTGTCTGTGCCAGGAGAAACCTCTCCCTTCCCCGAGCATTTGCAGGAGCTGCCAGGCCAAGGCTGCACTGGGAAGCAGCGCTCCCACCGTGGCCACGCTGCTGCACAGGAGGCACAGAACTGTCGTGCTCAGCACAAACTGGGTTTGAAATATGGGTCACAAGTGGCTCTGTCACCACCCAGAGCAGGGACAGGGCGTTCAGACTGAGGCTGCATTGTCTGCTCAAGGCATCACCCAGCAGTTGGCTCTGTCCTTTCATGGGACACAGGAGTCACCGTGCACATGCAACATAATGAGGTGTAATTCTGCAACTGCTGCCAAATGCACATATTTACCTTTCAGAGGGACACACATCACCTGGCCATCCACTGCTGTGCCAAAGAAAGATTTTCTGTAGTAAACACACTTGGCAAAATAACAAATTTCATTTCAAACATCTTAAAGCAGAGAGAAGATATTCACAGAATATTTACTTACTGCCTGGGGTAAGACAGTGAACTTGTCCTGAATTGTTGAATTTTCTTTTTAAACACAGCCAGTATAAAACCTAGGATTGCAAATCCTGTAAGCTCATGCTGTGGTGAGCAAAAATTGTCTCCACAGGTAGTGTTGGGAAGTATTTCACTTACATGAATTTCTCATCAGTTTAGGCACAAAACTTGCTATAAGCAGTAAGCTGATAAGGAAGGACTTTGCATATTACAGTACTTTGTAAAAATCTTTCTGTCATTCCTGCCAAGCCACCAGGGCTCTCCCACAGGGAGCTGAGGAGATGAACTGTCCTCTCCTTGCTACTCCAGCATGTCCTCTGTATACAGCTCACAGTATCCAAATTTCTGTATTTCTATTAAATAAGAGAACTATATGATTTTTTAAAACCCCAACATTTTGCCTGTGCGCCTTCCTGCAGTCTAGGGAATGGCCTTTGAAATGGATTGGACTGAATGAGCCAGAAATCTCATTTCATCAGAGCAGACTTTTTGTTTCCTTTTTTTTTTTTTTTTTTTTTGTATTTGGGAGATATCAACACTTAAGCTGAAACTAATTGTTTAAAAAGTATTTTCTAAATGTTGAAGCTTAATCATGGCTAATTCTTTAAAATAATTTGCATTAGGAAAGCAAATGGAATGTTTCCCATTGTTCTTGAAATGCAGAATTTTAACCTGAACTACAAGGAAAATGTATTTATATGTATCATCTTTCCCCTAAACTGCTGATTGACATATTTTCTTGTGTCACTAGAGGGAGCTGCCTTCTTGCTTCTAGAAGAGGGAGAAATTATTAAATTAGTGGAATAAGCACAGAAATGTATCAGCGTGGCTTCAGCTAATTGTGCTCTGATGGAGAGTGTTGAGCTGAGGCAGCTCTTCATGTTCCCTCCAGGATCCTGGCTGTATTTTGTAATTCCCACACCTCCAGTGAGCTCCAGCCCTGCCTTCAGCACCCCTGGAGTTGTCTGCAATGATGTTGTCACTGACTGAGAGAGTTTAGAATAACTGATGAGGAACAGAAGGACCATTCCACGGAAATTCAGGATTCTGGTTAGGTCCAGGTTCAGGCCCAGCTCTGTTGCTATCCTGAGCCAAGAGCTGCCCTGCAGCTCCGTGTGACAAGGGGCAGCAGCAGGGTGAGACACTGCCATGTGCTGCAACATCTGGCTGGGAGCTGAACTCAGGCCAGCCCTCCACACCAGAGGATTTAGACATAAATACAAAATATGCAGAGCACAGGAGCAGCACAGGCCACATTAATCCCCTTGTTTGGTAAGCAGCCACTCCTCAGTGCCAAGCAGGATGCCAGACGTGTTTAGAGAGGAGAGAAGGACCTGATCCAGCAGCTGTGGAAATACAGATTCTCCAAGGTACTCCAGAGTGCAGCTCAGCCCATGGATTTCCTGAGGGACCAGGCAGAGCCTTCACACTGAGAGTCTCTTGCTGGGGGATTGCTCGGGGCTCCCAGGTCTTGTGAAGGGCCAAACTGCCCTTTGTGATCAGAAGTTACCAAACCTCTTTTCTTCCTCTCCTTTTGCCTGTCATCACTGCAGGTCCTTTCCTGCACAGAGAGTGCTGAAGTCTGGGTGGTTTCTCACCTTACCTGGAGAGCACCCTGAAATAATAAAACAATTGAGCTAACATGGTAAATTTGGAGAGGGGAAGGACTGCCCAAATGGGGGCTAATGGGGAAATTCCTTCTGGATCTGCTGCTGCACTCCACAGCAGCATTTCAGGACACTTTACACCCCATATTCCTACACCTCCAGGCAATAATGCAGACAAAGTCGTGCTTACAGTTAAAGTTGCAACTATGTATTTTTATAATAACTGGGTTGGTCTGATTGCTGACATGGGCAGAAAGAGAAAAAGCTGTCCTTGAGTAAAGCAGCAGTAAATGCTTCTGCCTTGCTTCAAGTGATTAGAAAAATGAGACTTTTAGCCTGGCTTTTTTAATTACATGTCAGGGAGATTCTACAGGGCTTTGCTGAGATTCTGCAGGTGCAGCGGAAAGTGATTTAATAAATAGCATTTTTTTTCACAAGGCTGAGTGTATGCACATTGAAGCTATCTGGGTAGGCAGTAAATGCCATTCATCATCACCTAAAAGGACGTGAAGTTTAGCCAGATGGTATTTTCTTTAATGCAGGATGTTGCAACACAAGAAATGCATCTGGAAATAGCCACAATTAGGAAAATTACATTCAAAAGAAGGGAAAAGAGATCAGAGCAAACTTTTTAATCACTTTGAGGTCAATACCAGTGGTTGGGCTTTAGTCAGAATAACAAGAGCATTGTTCAGTGTGAAGCACAAATTGAAAATATTTGTCAGGTTTTAAATTATATCCTAATAGATAATCATATTTCTGACTGGCACAGATATTAACATTAAAAGCTACTCAGACAACTTAGCATCAATAAATATAGCTTGCAACTTTTTTTGTAGAATGACCTTATTTGTTACTATTGAAGGAGCTTTTGAAAGTGCTGCTGTGGACCCACTGAAGAATTGTTCACTTGTCTTTTTTTTCTATTGCATTGCTTAAAACCACTAATAAAACTTCCGTGTACAAAACCCAGCTTTTCCATCCACTCCATTTTCCTAAATAGGTCATTGCACAAAATCACCTCTAGTCAACTATCAGCATTAAGGAGTCTGACTCAGTCCTCAAAATTAGAAAGACTGGCTAAAATGAAAATTCTTTCTGAAACTATGAACTCTTAATTTGGCACGTCTAGATAATTTATTGTGATTTTGCCTTTCCAAACCACCCTCCAAAACCAGGAGAGGCCCATTTCCAAAAGAAAGGATGAGATTTCCATCCAGGCTGTTGACTCTGAAAAGGAAGGCGTTAAAAGAAGCCTTGTACAGTACCACTGTAGGAGGAAAGTGAAATCTGCAATCAAGGTGTTTATAAAAACAGAGCAGCATTCTAATAGAAAATCTGCATCAGGCTCAAAGATTTAATATTTTATTTCACTCACACCCACATAAACACAAAACTCATCCTGGCATGCAAACAAGCCCACATCTCTGCTCCTTCCCTTCAGTCTGTAAAACAAACACAAACTCTGCATGTCATGGGCTTATCCTGCACCATGGGGTGATTTGGATTCAGGTGACCTGGATAGAGACAGAGATTTTATCTCAAGTTTCCAAATCAAACCTATTTCTATTTATGACCCACACTTCCATTCTTTTATGACTCTGGTTGCTGTGACAGTAGCACAGCACAGAATAAACACACAACCTGTTTGCATAAGCTGAGCAATTCAATTGAGAAGCTCAAGCAGCCAAGAACATTTCACTGGTAAACATAATATCAGCTGCATTGTCACACACAGGCAGGGGAGGTGCAGTAAGGAAGTAGCAGTGAAAAAGGTGAACCTGGAGCAAGAGGGGAAACTTCCCACTTTAAAATGAAAGATTTTTTCCAGGGGTTTGTGTCCCTCTGTGACAAAACAGAGAGGAAGCAGCCTACATCCCAATGCAGATGGAGGGGACATGCAGGATGCTCCTCAAGTTCCCAGAAAAGTGACCTTTTTTCACTTGGGAAACCTTGTCACAATGTTGGGAATTTTTTCTTTTGTACCCAGTGGCTGTGATCCTGTTGGTGCAGCAAAAGAGCAATGGGATCAAGAGTGACAATAACCCACACTCTGAAATTCAGTCTTAGAACAGGAATTGTTCCTCATTCCTCTCTTCTTAAGTCCTGACAGTTTCAAATACTTCCAGGACTTTGTGCTAACCCATTTCTTGACAGGATGTAGGTACTGACATTTTCCTCCTCCAGTTATGGTGGAAGAGGTAAATGTATGCAGAGAAGTTATTTCAGTAATAAAGGCAGATGTCAGATGTAGGAGGCTTCCAAAAATAGGCCCAGGGAGGATTCAAAGGAAAATGCAGTTGGAACAATGTATACATTCCCCTTGTGATGATCCCCTAAACTTCTGCAGGTGAGGGAGATTTTGGCAGCACAGAGCTGGAGGACAAACACAGGAGACACCTGGACATTTTGAGGCAAACCTCCTTACTGCTGGCTCACAAAATGAAGGTCAGTAGGAAACCAGTGTAATGAGAAAAGGGAATTCCAGTTCTGCTGTCCCAGGGAAAAAGTGCTCCCTATCCCTAGATTCAGGTGTGCTTAGGCCATAATCAGTTGGCATCATCTGCTCTGAGTCAGGTTTATAAACCCTAAGGTGAGGTGCCAGCCCTCATCTGCTGTTTGGAGACATCAGTGTAGCTCCTGTGGGTAAGAGGATGTTGCTGTACTTGCCCAGGGCAGCAGGATGTGACAGGAGCTGGCTGTGCAGCTCCTGTCCTGCCCTTTGCCCCCCAGCTCTCAGGCGTTGTGTCACCTGGTTGGAGATACCATTTATAATGTGTCACTTCCTAACACAGCTCCAGCAGCAGCAGCAGAAACATCGGCTTTTGGTGCTGAGGGAGAAGGCAAAGCAAGAGGTTGAGGAAAGCCACAGGTTTTTGAGGGGCCTGCTGCACCTCAGTTCTGAGGTAAGTTATCATTTCAGATCCTGGCTTAACACCTCTAGCCCCAACTCTCATGAGAGCAGTTCCAAACACACAGCAATTTGTGAGCTGCTGTAGCACCTTACTCTCACATGCCCACAGAGCTTTCTCCCAGCCCATTAGTGAATCAACTCTTTAGGAATTGTTGGCATGGGAAAAGCATTGTCTACAACCAGAGGTTTTCCAAAGAAGATGAGGAAAAAAGGTTTAAATGTTTTGCTTTTCAAATAATTCAGATCATTGAGACGTGCGACAATTTGTGTGTGTGCAGGAGAGCAGGAATTCCAAAGGCAGTGATCCTGCTGTGACAAGACCTTACCACACAGGGCAGACACAGAGAGGACACTGGCAGGAAGGTGACCTTGCTGCTGGCAGCTACAGGAGGTAGGATACAGTGAGGCACTCCAAGGATTTGTGGTTTGGCTATATTACTATTTTGGGGCACTAAAGTAATTGCTCTATAGTCTTTTTAACTCTGATTTGTGCTCATACTACAGTATTAACACCTTTCCAATGTTGTGGGAGATCTTGCACTTTTAGAAAAGTAGAAACCCCTCTGAAACTTGTGTGAAAAGTATAATTTTCTTCATTTTGCTTTACTGTCATACCCTTGATATAAATTAGAATATTGTATGTGCATTTTTAAAGTGGCATAAAGACTTGAGAATTGCTTCCAGGGTCTTATGGATGCAATTACCAGAAAGGCACCTTTGCACAGGTAAAACTTTCAGTATCACATAAAAATGAGCAGCATTTTGGTTTGAAAAGATTCAGTTTCCATGGAGGACTTGGATGTGAAAGAAGGAATTGAAATAATATTTCTGACTGCAGTAAGAAAATATTTCCTTTTTCTTACCTTCAGTAATCAAGAGATGGGTTCACTGAGACACTCTGCATTGAAGATAGAAAGAGATCCCAATCCAGTGGATCCCAAAATATTGGGAGAAAGAAAACCTTTAGGAGGAGGAGGTTCATACTGCCTAGTGCTTCAAGGAGGTGAACGAGACATTAAAGGATTTAGTGGTATTGGGAAAATGCCCCATTCAACCTGGCCTGGAACACAGCTTTCTAACTAATTTTGAAAGCTTTAACCTGAATATTTATATTCATTATGCATATTTAAACTATGGCCACATTCCTTTGTACTCCTGGCCCTGCTAAGACAATCTTGTTGGGAGCTGAGAGTTATTTACCCTATCAATGGGCCCCCTTTTAAATTTTTACCTGTTTGCCATGATTTTACTTGTAAGGGAGGTTGATGTCCATACCTTGTTCCTGGAAGTGAACAGCTGAGGCATGACTCCTCCAGCTCCTGCTGAGGGCAGTGCACAGGCTCGGCTGACAAATATTTGCCAAAGGCACCTTGAGTTTAGAAACAGATGTTAACTTGTACTGGGGGAGTTGTTTTTTGTGTCTTTTCCTTTCAGTTATTTTATTTTTGGCGACATTAACTCTTTGCCTTGGGATCTCTGCCAGCAGATCACAGGCAGTCACAGCACAGCCATCACACCTCGAATCTGTTGTCACCTTGGGTGAATCTGCCCCATGGGGAGACTTGGGACAGCTCTGAGGACAGCAGTGACCAGGCCAGCTCCAACAGCCAGGTAACACCAGCTCTTGAAACAGTCTGAGGAGCGTTTCTGTCTCCGGGTTGGTTGGTTTTTTGGTTTTAGTCCCTCTATCAAACTGTTCACCTGATGATGCCAATACTCTGCTCTGTCCCCAGTGGAGCGCAGCCATTCCACGCTTCAGAAGCTCCAGCAACTTCCGTGGTTCCAGCCTGGCTGTGGTGGAGCAGAGCCTGAGGGCAGAGGAGCTGTGGGCTCGGCACCAGGCAGTGCTCCTGCGGCTCCGGAGAAAGGCTCTGCGGGAGAGGGCCAGGGCCGAGCTGGCCTGGCTGGGCCACCAGAGACGGTGAGGGCCACGGGGGCACCAGCGCTGGAGGCCTGCTAGGCCAGGACTGCTTTTCCTCCTTTCAGGGAAACACAGTAAATGTAAAATCTTCTTAGAAAGCAAGTAACAAGTAAAAAATTAGGAGAGGAAAGGAGCCTGCATGGTTTTAGTGTCTCCAGAGCAGATTTGAGCTTCTGTTGCAGCCTCCTCTGTGGTGGGTGATGCACCAACTGTGCTGAGGTGCCCTCAGGGATGGATGCTGAGGGCGTCCCTCAGTGCTAATGAGGATAAGGAGCCCTCGGGGCAGTGAGGGGCATTCCTCAGCACTGATGAGGATAAGGGGCTCTCAGGGAGAGTGAGGGGTGTCCCTCAGCACTGACCAGGGTGAGGAGCCCTCAGGGATGGATGTTGAAGGGTGTCCCTCAGCACTGACCAGGGTGAGAAGCCCTCAGAGATGGATGGTGAGGGGTGTCCCTCAGCACCGACCAGGGTGAGAAGCCCTCAGAGATGGATGGTGAGGGGTGTCCCTCAGCACTGACCACACTGAGACACTGTGAGGAACCCCCCAGTGCTCAAGAGACTCCATTTGCTTCAGGAGAGGTCCAGGCATCACAGCCCCAGAGTGGTGAGATATTTTTCAAGTTCATTAGAGCTTTCTGCAGAGCCTTCCATACCTACATCTGCTTGGAGAGGAGCTTTGCTCTCATCCCATCCATAGATTCAAGGCATTTAATGATATGACTCTGATTCTCATCCTTGTGATCTCCAGTGTCCTGGAAAACCTGCAGGATAGTACAGGAGCCTCTGCCATGGCAGCAAAGCAGCACAAAATCCTGATGGAGCTGAAACTGGAGCAGGTAATGCTGCAGTGAGAGGAGGTGGCATTCATCTCATATCCACAGGGAGGTGTCTGGAGTTGCTGGAGCAAGTGGGCTTTGTGTTCAAAAAAAACTATTACTTTGCATCCATTATTCTGTGTGTTTCCTACATACCCACAGTGAGGTGGCTTTTGTGCCAAAGTCAGCAGTCTGTAAATCTTGGATAAAAGAAAACATCTTTTTTTTTTTTTTTCCCTCTTCTGCTACCTCACTGTTATTGTGGATTTTTCTATTTATGCCATAACAAACAGGTCATATAATGTAGGTGTCCACTGATTTATGCTTGTGATGTTGAAATATATTAAATTAATCTGACAGCTAATTTTATAGTCTCAGTTATTCCACTATGCTAGATTCATAATTACACTTGGTAGTGAGAAAATGTCTGTCCTGCTCCTTACATAGTGTGAGCCTCTCATTTAAGTAAAGGAATTCCTAGTGCAAACCACAAGCACCCTGTAGTTTTGAATGATCTGAAGACAATTAATTTTTAAAGGTCTCACCACTTGACACCCCATCAAAACATTCCTTTACCTGCCACCAGTTTTCACAGGTGAAACCCCTGTTGAAAAATAAAACTGCAAATTTTTTATAAAAAAGGAAACTATTGAGTTTTCAGGGTATTTTGGGATTAATAGTTCCCTATATGAAGAGACATTATACATATTTTTAAGTATAGCTCTTCGTTATCTTCACTCTGTTATGCTCCTTTCTTTCTCTGCTTTGTTTAGGCAGAAATCCAGCACCTGAAAAACATCCACAGGGCAGCCCATCAAGAAAGGAAGCTTTTATTAAAGCAGCAGAGAGAAATCTTAATGATGCAGCATTCAACAGCACAACTCCAGGAAAAGCTGCACAGTTTGGCTGGGAAGCAGGAAGTGGTGAAGTCAGGGAGTAAAGACAATTGTGTCCAGCTAAAGCATAAAAAGAGCAAGAAATATGAGGGGTAAGTAAAACCTTTCTCCATGATTGCTGAAGGTAAGATCAAATCCAGTGGAGAAAATGGAGACAGGTATGTCCTAGATAATTGTGTGAGCTTTAGATACTCCAAAGAGGGAGTGTATAATAATAAATTTTTCCAACTTCTGTGTTCAAGCAGTTGACAAGTCAAGATCACTGCTTATCATTCTGTCCCAATTGGTGAGTTCCTCAGGGCATCTTTAATGATGCCACACAACTGCTAATGATAGTTCATGCTTTCATGGTGGCTTTTAACTACAAACCCAAACACTTTGCAACTATATATTAATTAGGCTTCACAATACCCATATGGAATGAGTAGAAAAGTATTGATTTAATTGGGGAAATTCACTCCTTTGTCACCCTCTGGCTCTGAGCCTTTGTATCACTCAGCCCCTCAGAGCTGGTCTGTGCTTCACTAAGGATTTAACCAGAGAAGGATTTTGTAATACACAGGGCTAAATTTTAGGCTTAAACTGAAGCACAGAGGTGTCATGTAAAATCCTACAGTGAGATATAATTCAGGAGTTTAGTCAGACTGAGAAATCCCCATCCTGCTGTTCCCCTGGAGCATCCCTGTCTGCTTCCTGCTGGGCTGGAGGAGCTGAGCAGTGTGAATGAGAGCCCCACAACATCCACACTGCTCCAAACAAAAATATAGTTTGCTTCAGGAAGAGAAAAAGCAGTTAAAGACATATATTTATCAATGTGAATTAAAACCCCCTTTCATTCAGTGTTACCCAGAGCTTTAGCAGGGTGGTGAGTCAGGTTTGTGCATTTACTTAAGTCCCCACAGGGGAAGGCTTTCAAATAAATCCCTGCATGGAACTGATCTATAATTCATGGTGTTATTGATTACAAGTCAGAGAAATCTTTAAAAGGTTTCTTGGCTGTGCTTTCACTTCTTATTACTGACAAGGCTGCTCGTAGGAGAACAGTGAATATTGGTGTCAGTCTGCAGCAGCCAGGGACTGGTGGAATCAAATGCACCCAAATTCTGGCTGATTGTCCCTAGATCTCTGTCCTGTGTAGGAGGGCAGATGGTGATTATCCTATTTATCCCCCTGCATGGGTATGTTCATATTTTATACTGATCAGGAACAAAGCATTCCATGTCTAACTGTTTACAGCTTTTCTACTGAGAACAAGGAATCACTGGTACAACACCAGAAACAGGTGGAGGAGTTGCCAGGTTTGGAACAGTCCCTTAATTCTCAGGATGATGTTTTCTTACCTCTGGAACCTACAAATTCAGCTGGAATGGAACCTATAGCCACACTCTTTACAAGAAAAGGCCAAAAGTGTGTATTTCTGGTAAGGCCCACCTCTGGAATTCCATGAATGCCTAAAGAAAGGGTGTCCCAGATTATATTTCCCTTAAAACAGGATCAGCCCAAGACTCATTTGGCACTTAGGAACATGAGGTCAAAATAAGTGTGTTGGTTATATGCAATTTTTCCTTAAGACATTAACTCTGTCTCCTAAATGTTTACATTCTAGGAATCTGTGCTGGAGGACAAGGCACTTCTTTCAAACCCTGATTCTAAAGATAATGAAAATATTAATCCATGTGGCAGAAAGTACCCAGTGAAAGGTTTGGGAATGCTTCCTACTTGGTGTAACTTAAGCCTGGTTCAGGCAGAAAATACTCTTGAAGGAACAGGTCAATCATATTTAATGCTATTATGTCCAATCTGTTTCAACTACTTCAATCAAATTTTAATCCAGACAGAAAGAGAGACAATCTTCTCATTTATTACCAAAGTGTCTTGCTCACTATAGCCAATGTATAAATCACTGCTGGGCAAGATGGTGGGGATCTCTCTGAGGTTTATTAGGAGATATGATTATACTGCTTCCCCAGAACAAAATCATAACTTACTCTGATTGTGTCATTAACAATTTGCTCTCTTTTGATACAATTTTTCAAGAATTTAAGGCTGTTCTTTTTAAAAGAACATAGATCAGTTGAAGATAGACTTAGGACATGCTGGAGTTATTTTTGTCTCCAGGTTTTATCCTCAGTTCATATTTCTTACTCTTAGTAGGACAGGTGAAAAATAAAACTGTCTGTTTATATATGAGTCAGTTATATCATTTACATAGTTCTGGGTATGCATAATTTCTGTAATATAAATATTTACATATTGTGGCAGTATTTCCTCTTTCTGGCCCTTTTCTAATGAACCATCTTTCTGCATATCATAGAATATCCTGATTTGGAAGGGACCCACAAGGATCATAAAGTCCAACTCCTAATTTACCCCTAGATATCATAGTGAGGAGCATGATAGATTTGAGTGTCCTAAGTGATCTATCAGCAAGCTCTTCTATAAAATATTTTTCTTTTAAATGCTGTTAAAAAAAATTCTTTTAAATGTTCCAGTTAAAGAAGTGGAAGTGCCTGTTCCTTGTGAGATCCATCAGGTGGATGCCAGTCAATGTTTGAAGCATTTGGACCATGTTTCTCATGAAGCTTCTGATGAACTAAATGTAAAAGTATTTTCTGAGGGATTAACTTCCATGGAACCATTATCCAAGTCAAATAACTTCTTTTTGCAATGTGAAAGTGCCAAATCAGACTCTTCTCACTCAGAATTTCAAAAAGTGTCTGCAGTTTGGATCAGCTTCTCAAAAAGTTCCGTTTCAGACCCAGAATTAGAGCTGAAACATGGAGATGACACAGATGTCAGTGTCCCAGAAGAGTTTGTCTGTGACAGTGGTGATGTGTTTGCTAATCTCTCAAAAGACATGCCAATAGCAATAAGTAATGGAAAGGAAACATCACCTAGTGGCAAACACAATGAACGTGAGCTGCCTGAAGATGACAGAGCTGAGACTTCATCTCTCTCCCAGAAATACTCTGGAGATGTGTTGGATCATGGCTGCACTGATCACCTGCTTTCCTTCATCCCAGCAGACAAAGCAAATGCCTCCAGAACCAAGTCAGCACATTCCTCCCAATCTGAAAACCCTTCTGAGGGAGTGGATGAGCCACACCTGGGTGCCTCACAAAGCTGCAGCAGAAACAAACCCTGTTCTCAGGAGATCCCAACACTGGGGAATGATGAAGCTGCCAGCCCTTCATGCACAGATGCAACCTCCAGTAGTGATAAGGGTCTCCCTCCAACTGACAAGGATACCTTGTCGGAAATGCTCTGTCCTGTGGGTGAAGTATTGTCCTCTGGAAGTGCTGACTTGCCATCTTCTAACAAAAAGGATTTGTCATTTCCAAGTGAAGATCTTCCTCCTCCCCCTTTAGGTGCAGATGCAATGAAAAATGGTGATCCTGCCTCCATCACGGATGATTTCCCATCCCCACTGGAACAAGTGACAGGCTCAGAGCCTAGTCAGGGCACGGATGAAGATATATCACTGGAAATGGATGCATTACCCCCATTACCTGATAACACCATGCCTGGAGAATTTCCCCTGCTCAGTACAGAGACAAGTGGTGCTTTTTCAACTCAGGATGATTGTCTCTCAGAACAATCTATTACAGCTCTTTCCAGCTGCTTTTCAGAAAACCAGCAGGGAGAACAGGAGATGCCTTTGCAGCATTTGGAGTTTCTGACTGTGTCAAATACAGATTCTTCTGGTGGAAGTAAAAGTCCTGAATTCCCAATGAAACAACGCAAAATGTGTGAAAAGCCGCCCAGTGCTGAGGACAGTGATGACCCATTATCATCATTTGAAATTGGGGACAGAGTGTTGGTAAAGCAGAGCCAGCCTGGAACTCTGATGTTCAAAGGCCAGACTCATTTTGGCAGTGGTCACTGGGCTGGTGTTGCACTGGACAAAGCTGAAGGTGACAATGCTGGAACTTATGAAGGGGTGAAGTATTTTGAGTGTGCTCAGCACTGTGGGGTCTTTGTCAGACCTGATGAGATTTCACACCTGTTTGGGGTTAACAAAAATAGTTCCAGTTCCATGGGGAATGAAGACTCTGACTCCTTCCATGATGATGATGACTCCCTCAAAGGAGACTGCAACTATTCTGAAGATGATGAGCAGAGAGTGGTGTGTGCAGAGGAGAAAGCAGAAGACACAAACAGTGCAGGAGGTTCAGAAGTGAAAGAAAACCAGTCTGGGTTACACACTGCCTTGCTGTGTGGAAAAGGGCAAAAGTTTCCCCATTCCAACCAGTGTAACTGTAATGAATTCCTCTGTCAAAAGAACTTAATGTGCTTGGGATCACATAAAGAAAAAACAGAACTGGCACAAATAAAACAAACCATATTTGCAGATGCTCTTCCAGAGAAAAGCAAGACAGATGAGGTAAACACAAGCAAAAATATTTGTTGCTTGGTAGAGGATCAGAAAAGAATTAAACTTGCTGATGATATTGCAAGTGAACTCAGTAAAAAACTTCTGTTTGACATTTTAATTGCATTTTCTGAAACAGCTCAACACAAATATAAAAGTGCCTTTGAAAAAGACATGATGAATTATGGCAAAGGCCTGAGGCAAGAAGACAATCAGAAACCATTTCCCCTCAAAGAAAATTCAGTTGCTGCCTTATCTGAGCCATCAGCAAAGGTTTCTGATGTTTTACTGGGTGATTTTGATACGCTTTGCATTCATGGTTGTCACACAGTAACAGACAGAATTGTAACTAAATTTATAGATGATGCAGTTAAAGAATATAAGAAGATTAAAAGAAAACACAGATCAAAAGCAGACAAGATACTTCATTTATCTCCAGAGACTTCTCCAACCACTTTGCCTGTAAGTACAGTGAGACAGTTTTTATTTCAAGTGCTGGGTCTATAGAGGCAAGAATTTGTGTGGCCCAGTTTTTCATCATCCATAGAAATTATATCAGTGTTAGGAACCAGATTGCCCACTTCATGTGACCCATTCCTTATCTAAGGAGTTATTCTGTGTCCATTAGATAGTACATGTATGGTCCAAACAAAGAAAATGGGAGTTCTTTATTGGAATTTTTAACAATACATCAGTAAGCCTTTCTTTGAGCCCATGAATAAAATGGTTTTAAGTGTAACCTTGACCAGTTGCTAATAATCTCAATACATCTGAAAAGATGGAATATATCTGTCTTTTCTTTTTCTCTCTTGAAGCTCCTTTTAAAAATCCTTGATGCTGGTGTTTTTGGAAGCTCTGAAGATTTTGATCAGCCTAATTCTGACCAAAACATGCTGGTGAGACAGACACAAAAGCAACACTTGTATAAATTAGACCAGTGGCACTCAGCTCCTTGGAAGAAAACTGTGGAAGTTCCTCTTGTGATACCACACAACAGTTCTTATGTTAAAAATTTGTCTGCGTATGCTGTGGAAGAGTTATGGACCCCAGAGAACATAAAATCAAATTTCAGGAACATCAACATGCCAAAGTACTTGGAATGTAGTGATCTCCCAGGGAATGATTTGGAAGCAGAAAGCAAGAGGATGTATAATCAGGTATTTTTAAAGCACTAACTGTTAATTACCTTTTGTAGTGTTCTGGAGGCTGAATCATATTAGCTAATATTTAATGTTATTCCAGTTGTTAACACAAAATATAACTAAAGGGACGCTGAAAGGTACTGCCAGGAGTATTTTGCAATTTGCTGCAGAATAATTCCAGTATAATAAACATCCTTGCAAAGATTCCAGAGTTTTGCTAGAGTTCCACCATAAGCCCTTGGACACCTGGCCCGGTGTCTGGTTTGGGTCTGTTCAGGGAAGGCCAAGTTCCATGGAAGGCTGGGGACTGGAATCCAGTTTTCCTGACTTCAGTGTCCTGCTGAGTTTGTTACAGGTTATATTTGATTTGAGCCATGAGTTGCTGTGTGCAGAATATCAAGAGTGTGCAAAGCCAAATATGTTCCCATGGATGGAAAAAGAAGTGGGATCTCCCTGTTCCAGGCATCTCTGCAGAAGGGCAGATGTCAGTGATGTCAAGGTATGTTCTGGCAATGTAATGTACAGGAATAAAAGTGAAAAGAGCAGAGATTGCAAAAAGAAATGTGAAATTTGGGAGGATTATGGTAATGTAACTGAGGTGATGGGAGAAGAAACAGCATCACCCTGAAATGTCTGAACAAATACGGACTGAGCTGATTCATTGAAATATTCCATATGTGTGGAGTTAAGAATGGGAATGGGCCTTTAAACTCTCCTAATTGTGACTATTTTGTGTGTAATATTATGATTAGAATGTGTTGGTTGGCCAGTATTGATCAGCTACCTCTAGGTCAGTCCCCTGAACTTTGGGATGTTTCTGGACTTAAAGCTGCATCTTCACACTGGCACCTGTCACTCATCTGGAACCGCACCAGAATTCTTATGAGGAGAGTTCTTTTCAGCCTTCTTTATTTTGTAGACGTTTGTTCAGGGTGAAATTATTAAAATAATGAACCTGGAAAAGAATGACTTAGAAATGAAAAGAAAATACCTAAATATGACCAAGTATGGAAACTGTAAGAGAGACAGAGTGGACCTTATTCTGGTAAGCAGAATTTCCAATGGGGATTTGTTTATTTCCTCTAGATTCAAACTAGAAATTCTCATCCTTTTGTGAGAATCACATTTACTTAAATTAACATCAGAACTTCAAATTACTGCCTTTTTAAAGTTGAATTAATAATCCAGTATTTCCAGCTCTTGTGAGTGGTTTAAATGAAAAAAAATAATGATGTAGATGTAAAGCTGTTGGATTAGTTGCAGTGTCTCAGTACTTCTGTGAAGCTCTTCTTTTTTGAAGTAAAAATTTGTTTCCATGTTCTATTTTAGATCCAGGAGCTCCGCAAAGAAGAATCTCAGTGGACTTCCTATGGTGATGATGAATTAACAGTGAAGATGAGGATGACTGAAGCCATATTTGATAGCTTGATCCTTGATACAATCAGAATTCTTAATAAGATTTATCTGAAAAAAGCCTGTTTGAAAGGTGACTGTGCACCATCTTTTTTCCTTTAATACACTTGGAACTGTTAAAAGGAGCCTGGAGATGGCTTCAGAGAGGTGGCACAGGGAATGGCAGGACCTGGAGCCAGACAATCAGGTTAAATGTCTATAATTTTATGCAAATGAAGTAAATACTAATGTGATGCACTTTAAATTGGAGATTTTTCTATCAGCACCTTCAATTCCTAACTAGATGTGTGCCTGCACTTGGGTTATTTATCATGCAATTCACAGGAGCTCATTGAATTTTTTACAATATCCAAATGTGGGGTACTGAGAATGTACTTTAATAGACAAAAGAGAGGAAATCAATAGTGCTTTTGTATTGGCAAAGCTGAAAAAAATCAAGATTTTGACAAGGAAATGGAAGCATTTCCTCAGCATGGTAATTGTTCCCTATGCTAATTGCTGTGGTCCCACCTATTTTGTATTGAGAAAATCAAATTTTTGTTAGTTCTTTTTAAAATAAATACTGTGCAAATATTTCTTACTGGAATTCAGAAACTGTTCATTGTTGAATAATTGATTGTAAAGAGATCAGATTTTTTCCAATCCCATTCATTCAGAGTGTCTTCCAAATAAAATTAAAATCAGGATCAATAAAGATAAATTATAGATAAATTTAAGATTTAAAAATACAATACTTAAAATCTGCTTGGGGAATAGAAAGACATTTTATGTTTGTATTTTTAAATACTGTTGGCTTAACTGTTTTTTGTACTTGTTTTCTGAATAAAATATGATACAAATGGCTTATTTTGTTTATTTATTTTCACTGAAATCACTTAGAATTACAGATTATCTTGCACACACTGCTCTTCTCAGCAGTGAATGGGTGCATTTTTGCTTTGTTTTGCTGGGCACATTAAACCCTCCCCTGCTTGTTGCCATATGAACAGAAACAAAAAGGCAACTTCTGCCCCCAGTGCCTTAACTGGTGATCTTATCCTATAAACTATTTTCATGTCTCTAGTGGTACATTTCTTTGTCTCTGACTTTATCCTCATTGATTAGTTAATCCACATAAGTTACTTGTTTTCTTGTTGTCAGTTTATAGCAGAATTTAACTCATTTTTTTTTTCTTCTGGACTTGGACTGTTGGATACAATGACAAATCTATAAATTGCAGCACTCTGAATCTTCAGTTTATTCTCACACTGGTTTTACAGCAGCAGGATCCCTGTGTTTGGAATGAAATATATTAAAAATATCACTTAGGTATGAATAAATAGCTGAAGTTTGATTTTAGCCTTATGCTACACCTGAGGCAGAGACCCATCAGATTACAATGAGGGCTGTGAGTGAAGCCTGAACCCTCACACGCTGCTCTGCAGGGAAGGACACAGCTATAAACCACCTCCTGCTGATGAGAATAAAAAGTGTGTACACAGAACATGTCAGACAGGTTTAATATCCCCCACCATTCTGTGTTCAAAACCTGAGATTCTGGCACCCAGATATATTGACCTGTTCACTCAGTGGCAAGGCTTCAATATCAAGATTACTCTCCTTCAAGGTCTAATATTTTGTTTGCCTTGGGTTTGATCAATATTAACCTCCTGGGTCAATAAATCTTGATACTAGCCTCAAGAGGAGTCATTATCTTTCATAGAAAATGATTATTTCTCAGTTAAACCCTACATTTAATTCTCCTGTAATCCATCTCTTTCATCTTCATACATTTAACAATTCTTCTAAATAAAATGTGCTCTAAAATATCTTAGGCACTGCAGATTTTTAAAATCCTAATTAGCAGCTGCTACAAGGTTTCTCAGTTCTTGGAAGCTGTTGTAGCTCTGCTATTGCAACCATCTATTTTGTTGCTTGCTGTACCCAGAAAAAAATAGAGAAAACCCCAATGCTGGGATGTGATATGAGAAACCATTTAGGTCATAGCTGTGGATATGGATCAAAAGATATGTGTCTGAACCATTTTAGATATAATGGTCAAATAAAAGAGTCAGGAAAAGGCAAAAGTAGCAGAATTTTTCTCTTGTACTCTTTGTGGGTTGTTGGCCACAAACAACGATGAATTAAGTTCTAACCCTGAACTCCCCGATGGGCCTGAAGTAAGAATTTAAACCCCTTTGTTCCCTACTTGTTCTTGAAGGATTAAAAGAAGTGCTTGTGAGCAACAGAAGCAAGAATTATCTTTTCAGAGACCTCAGTCTTTCATTATCTGAGTTTTTAAATCCTCTGAAACCCTTCCCTGGGGATGTTGTTGGGTTTCTGCTTCTCATTAAGGTAATGAAAATTCTTCAGCCTGTATTTAGAAATGAAAGGAGACTTCCATAGTGGGCCAGAGGGAAAAGGTGCTAAAATCCATTTTAGTGCTCATCCTGAATTTATGGAAAGGACAGAGCTTTTCTCAAACCACCTACACACAGCCTTTTATCAGAGCTTCAGTTTGAGGAGAGGCTCTTCCCTGCCGAGAGAGGTGCTTAGCGATGAAAGAGCTCTCGACCCAAAGGCTGCCCTGCTTTCATCTCTGCTCAGCCAGAAGACTCGTGAAGCTAAAACTTCTCTTTTTATATAATCACAAAAATTTGGCCACCGAGTGATCTCACAGAAGGAAGGGACCACGGTGGGTCCGGCAGTGCAAGCTCCTGGCGCAGCAGGGTTATCCCAGAGCACAGGATCGTGTCCGATGGCTCTGGAATTATCTCCTGTGAGGGAGACTCCAAACCCCCTCTGGGCAACCTGTTCCTGCTCCTGGCCACTCCGGTGACGAGCGCTTTTCTAACACTTGGAGCTTGTTGGTTGCTCTCTGTTTCAGGGATTGAATCAAACATCAAAGAACATTCTATTTTAATATATATATTCCGTATTTTTCACGCTCAGAGGACACAGAGAGTCCTTGCTCCCCTCAGGGACACCGGACGGTCCCTGCTTCCCTGAGGAACACGGACAGTCCCGTCAGGGACACGGACAATCCTCGCTCCCCTCAGGGGACAAGGGATAATTCCCGATCCCCTCAGGGGACACAGGACGGTCCCCTCAGCAACACGGACAATCCCGGCTCCTCCAAGGAACATGGGACGCCCGCCGTTCCCCTCAGGGATGCGGACAGACCCCCCCTGCACTCAGGCCACGCCGCCATGGCCGGCGCGTTGCTATGGCGCGGCCCCGCCCCGCCCCTCTCCGCGCGTCCCAACATGGCGGCGGCGGGCGGGGGCCGGCGGGCGCTGCTCCCGCTCCCGGTGCCGCTCCCGGTGCCGCTCCCGGTGCTACTCCCGGTACTGCTGGCGGCCGCCGCCACGGCGCGGCTGTACCGGCCCGGACACGACCCGCTGACCGTGCTGACGGCCGGCTCCGTGCGGCCGGCGCTGCTCAACTCCTCGGCCGCCTGGGTGGTGCAGTTCTACAGCTCGTCCTGCGGCCACTGCATCGCCTTCGCGCCCACCTGGCGAGCGCTGGCGGGGGACGTCAAAGGTGAGGCTCGGACCGGGTCACCGCACACGGCCCCGCCGGCCCGGCCGCTGTCCCGCGGCCCTTCGCGGCCTCCCGCGGTGCCCGGAGCCGGTGCAGGGCCGCGGCGGTGCCTGGCGGTGCCCCGGGGGGAGCCGGGCTGTGGGACCGCGGGGCCTCGGGCACTGTGTCACCCATGGGCCATGCCGTGTGTGCCGAGGGTTGTGTGAGCCGCTGTGCCTTGGCGTGCGAGCATCACCCTGATCTCCTGCTCTGGAGTGTGAGCATCACCCTGATCCCCTGCTCTGGAGTGTGAGCATCACCTTCATCCCCTGCTCTGGTGTGTGAGCATCACCTTCATCCCCTGCTCTGGTGTGAGCACAACCCCCATATCCCGCTTTGGTGTGTGAGCATCACCTTCATCCCCTGCTCAGGTGGTGCCACACAGCCAAAATAGCACATGGGACAGAGCAAGGGGTGGATGGTGTTCCATCCACTTCCAAATTAAAGGTTTTGAAGGAATCCAGACATGAAACATTACTTTGCCTGCACACAGCAGTGTGGTTTGCGTGTAAGTGTCCCTGTGAACCCGAGGTTTGTTTACACTGAACTCCTGAAGGCACGATGTTTATCTTCTATATGTTTTATAAAGAGAGCAGCTTGTTTCAGAAGATAAGCAAAAAATAATGTGGTACTGGAGAGGCTGTGCACACACTTGATTTATATCTTGCAAATTCAGTGTAGTGTGGATGGGCTCAAAGGGGGGAAAGAACCACCAGAAAGTAAAACAAAAATCAAGCAAAATGAGAACCAGGTTTTCTCATTCATCAGTTAGTGACTTGAAATTAATGGTGGCATCTATAGCTTATGCTGAGGGACCTGCCTTGCTGTCTCTTAGCCTGCTCAGTTTTTTTGGCAGGTGCTGAAGAGTTTTACTCTATTTGTAGATGTAAGGAAACAAATGGGCCCCTGAAGTATCAATTAAAGTTCATTACTTCTGCTGGGGAGGAAACCTGAGATCAGATTTGTAGGAAATGTTATGCTTAATATAGCAGTGTAAAAGGCTTTTAAACTACTCTTAATTCACATTTCACCCAGGAGATGTTTCCAGGATGGATACAGCAATTTTTAATGCACTTGTGGTTTCACTTTGAGAGGGACTGAAGAGCTCTGGCCATTCTGTGACACTCTGAAAAACATTAACAGCTCATGTGAAATGTAGGTGAAGTATTAGGTGTGCATTTAGATCTATGGAAATGGAAACCCACCCTAAAATAGGTGCATCACACACTGAGGAATTGTGATTGGTGACCAAAAACTCAAAAGCAGAGAAACACAGAGCAGTCATGGTTTTCAGAGCACTTCAAATGCTCCTTACTTGCATGAAGGGTTTGTTTATAAACCAGTGACTTTCTTCTGTTTAATTTGCATAAGTTTATGTAACATTTTCTCTCCTGCTTTAATCTGCTCATGGCCAAAATAATATTAGATCTTCTCCTTCTTTGAAGTAACAAGGAGATCTTTGAGCACAGCAGTGGAGAGCATGAGGAGCCCAAAGTGGCCAGAGCTTTGGCCAAAATAGGACAGGGATTTAGGTAGGATTACAGCTTGTAAAGACTTCAAATACATGTTTTCATTCTCACCAGCAGACATGGTAACTGCAGATGCTGTCATGCACTCGTATCACTGCAATCAGTGCCTCTCTCCTTTAATCCATTGAGTTTTTGTGAAAACTTTCATTTAGAAAGTGGATTTTGAATGTTTGTGGACATTGGCACAACCAGCAAATGCTATTGGCTTTTGGTGTTATTTGTCAGCCAAATGTTTCCATTTTCAAGTTGGATGAATGGATTTTAGGAGACTGAGAACAGTCACACTTTTCATTGGTAGCTTCATCAAAGAAACCAAACCCAAAACGTTTTGCCCACTTAATCTGTCTTAACATTTGTTTTTCAAAGATATTTACTCATCTGCTAGGATATTAAAGGATATCCTTGAGGATGCAGATTTTATTTTAGGGAACTCCTAGATCACTGGGGTTATGTTTGCTGATTTGGTGTCCAAACAAAATCCAGTTAAATTGGTGCAACAGCTTTGTCCAAAAAAGGCCTGTGCTAATAGACCTAATTTTAATTTTGTTTCTCATTTGTTAAATCTTGGCAATACTACCATTGCAGACTTCACAGCAGAACATAATCCTCCTGAAAAACAGGATCAGTGCTTGCTTTTGTGTAATTTATGTTTTTGTTTTGATACTCCCTCTCAGAACAGGCTTTAAGCTCTGTCAGTGCTGCTGCTTTTCTAATCACACATTTCATTTTATTACAGCAGTGGCCAAAGTGGCCATTAGAGTTAATTATCCTTTTTCTGTCTAAAAGATTATTAAGTTTATCCAGCAAAATACATACGGGCTGGAATTATGTGTAGTAACAAACCCTTGGAAATCCCACATAGGACAACCTGTGAATTATACACAGAATCAATTCACTCCTCAGGATTTGCAGTAACTGTCCAAATTTAGCAGGTTTTGTTTCAAATCCATAATGATGATTTCCTGCTTGAAACTGTTCTTTGAACACATTTGGTGAGGAGCTGCAGTCACCTTATCATGGTTCAGGAAACAGCCAAGTGTCAAAATAGGCAACTCTCAAGTAGCTGTGAGAGAGAGGTGCCTGTGATGAGCCTTTTACCCCCCTGACTGAAACTTCTCGATGGAAAACAGCCAGGTTTATGGGAAGGAAGTGAATTCCTTGTAATTCTCTGGTGGATGCTCTGTGGCATTTCTCACGTGGGAGGTTTGACCCACCTGCAGGATTCCGGTTTGTCCAACACAGCCCTGTCATTCACTGGAGCTTGTTTAGCATAAACAGAGATTGTGTTGGTTAATGCATCCCTCATCTGCCTCTTTCCCCTCGCTTGTGAGTCAGTATTTCAAAACCACTAACGCTAATTTAAAATTAATCAGCGTTTTGAAAACAGCCAGCCCAGCCTACAGTGCCGCAGTAACTCCAGAGTGTCAGCTGTGCACTCCAGCAGCTCTGGCACCCCTTGGAAAGGAGCAGCTCCGTTTCCAGCAGCAGGAATGCTAAGCAGCACATCCCAGCTGGTGCTCTTTAACCCGGCTGTTTCGCTGGGGTGGGGCTGCTTTGTTGTGCGGGGTTATTTGCATTGAGTTCTGAGAGCTCCCATTCATGGCGTGGAGGAGGATCCAGACAGGTGGAAAAAGGAGGAGGAGCGGTGAAAGTTGAATGAAGGAGATAACCAGAAGCCAAACTTTTCTTTTGTGTTTTGCGTTTTATTTGATGAAATGGGCTGTTGTGTCCTTTGTGCTGCTGTGAATGGGTGCCCATCTGCTCCAGCGTGTTTGAGAGCTCTCCTGGTGCCCGCTCAGCTCTTGGCACGTTCAGCACAAACCTCTCCATCAGCTGCCCTGCCCTCCTCCAAACACAAGCAAAGGTCAAGCTAAATTTCACAGACCAGAACTGTCCATCAGCTCTTGAACTTGATGAAGCTTTCATGCTCTTTGCTATAAAAGCAGGTTTAATTTTAATGCTTTCTAAATGTTATTGGGAATTGTGGGGGACCTTCAAATTCTGCCCAGGGCTGGTTTGATTTAACTTTGCTTTGAAAAGCAGCTGTCTAAGGATCCTCTTGGAGTGGTTCTTCCTTAAAGTGATTGCTACAGCAGAGGCTGGCTCAAAAAGATAAATTCCCAGCAAAAAGAGAAGGAAAAAGCTGTAAGTTAGCTGAAAGCTTTTACTGAAGTTATATAAGCATATTTATGGAAATCCTTGAACTCCCCTGGTTATTGCTATAAAGGAAAGTCAGAGTGATGCTCAAAGTCTGCTTAAAACTCAGGTATTTTTGTGGGTATAACTAATGCATTTCTGAACAATACTGCCCCATAAATACAGCTTTCAGCAGACACTGCATGAGTTGGAGTTGTTTTTTATTCTGAGGCCTCTCAGAAAACTCTAAGTTGGAGAAAAAGCAGCTTGTTAAAAAAACTCTAATACAAGGAGCATCACATTTATGGGTTTGTAATTGACATCCATGTGGATGAGTAACTGCTGGATGAATTTTATTCTGCATTCTGCATGCTCTATTTTATGAGCACAGCTAATGGGAAAAGCTGAGGAATTCAATCCAGTTCCTTGCAAGTGTTGGATTGGCCTGATTTCATCTTCCTGGATTCACCCCTGGAACTGCTGCACTGTGTGCTGGGATTCCTCTTATTCAGGTGCATGGAAAACACTGATGCAGCCAAGAAAAACAGGGAGGTTTTAGTTATTTTAAAAATCAGTAGATTGTATTACACCGGGGCATGGAAATGAATGGCAAATGAGAATCGACCCAGGGCTGGATTTTTATGCCACTGGAATCTCTCAGTCCTGTTGCTGGTTTCCATGGGAAGCAAGGTAATTCATCAGCTGGGATCCGTGGTCTCTCCTGCTGAAAATTGAAAGATATCTTTGTTTGCAGACTGGGAATCTGCAATTAGAGTTGGAGTGCTGGACTGTGGGGAAGAAGGGAACTATGAGACGTGCAAAGAATATGGGATTCACTATTACCCAACTCTTAGGGTAAGTGCAGAACATCCTGCTTTAGGCAGATGATGCATGTTTTCTAATAATTAAACTGTGTAACTCAATGTGCTGTAGCTTTCTTTGCTTTGCTGAGAAAACTGCAGAGCTGATAAAAGATTAATTTGGGGGGGTTTTGCTGAATGCAAGAGCTGATGCAGCTGTTTTGAGCAGTAATTCAGTTCTGAATCTGAAAAATTCTTATTGAGAGATCATTCTGTCAAGTATCATGTTATCACATGTATGTAACCCCTAGTTTCAACAGATTTATTAGATAATAACCATTTGTATAAATATTTTTCAAATTCAGCTGTTATGGGATTATTAATAATGTTTTTAGTTTTGGTGTGTGATGGTAAATAGAACACATTGAAATTGCCTCATAAAAACAGCTGATTGCATGACCAATTAAAAACTTATCCTTGCTAGATCCTTCACTATTTTTGTGATTAATTTAGTAATATTTTTCATAATAAAATGCTTAGACTGCCTTTTAAAGAGGATGCCACGTTAGCCAAAAGTATCTGCTATTGTTCATTTTAATGCAGTTTTTACCTTCTCAGTCAGTCTGTATTAATCACATTATTAAGTATGAGCAGAATGTGGTGGATGGAGAAACTGTTTGTGATGACAGGAGAGGGAGCAGGAGACATTTCAATGTAGGATTTGTGGTCTTTTACCCTGACAGTAAAACCAATATTTGTATTTTCTTTCACTCTCCAAAGTTTTAGGTGTAAATTGTGATATCCTCTTTATTAAACACAGAATCTTTTCCATGTTATTTTTTTGTAGCAGAAGGCAGCCAAGCTCCCTTAGATCTCCTGTTTAGCCACTGGAGGGAGTTGGGAAAATGTGAATAGTGTTCCAAGTGCACACACAGTTGGTAGCAGAGATTTGGTGATCAGTTCATTTGTGTTTGGGTTAATGTTTGCAGTGCAGGATCAATACACGCCGTTGAATTTTGCATTAAGGGATTTTTCCTCTTGCCCTCAGGTAGGTGAGAAGCAGCTTTTTGGAACTTATAGGCTAAGAGGGAAAACTGTCTCCTGAGCAGATAAATAAAAATGTTTTGAAGTTAGAGCTGTAAAAGTAAAAACTCTTGAAAGCCTTTTTTATTCCTAAACTGGGCTTTTTTGTCTGATACAGTGACTTTTCTTTTGTCCTACACAGTACTTCAAAGCATTTACAAAGCAGTTCACAACTGGAGAAAATTACCAAGGTAAGAACATTTTACTGTGAGAAATCCCCAGAGCAGTTTTCCTGTCAGCCAGGGCTGTGTCACACAACAAGCAAAATCCTGTCAGTTCCTTTGGGCAGGGATGGGGTGGACACTAAATAGCTCTTTAAGACAGAATATTTAAAGTACTCTACAAAGTGTTAATCAGAATTTTAGGCAGGCAAAACATTTCTCCAAGAAACTTAGGAACCACATTCCTTTTTTTTTTTTTTTTTTTTTTAATGTAGCTCCTAATTTTCACAAATGGCTTGTTAATTTTTTTAATCCCTTTTCTTCCCACCACACTCCTCATCAGCACGAGATCCAATTTACTCAATTCTGACTTTTGATCCCTCAGCCATTTTCCAGGCATCCTGAGTAGCACTGGGAGAGCCTCTATTCAGATGGTGACTCCCTGAAAATAGGCTTATCCCAGGGTTTGTCAGGATCACAGCTTGAGGTGGTTTGTCTGGGACAAAAGTAATGTTGTCCCTTTCCATGGATGAACATTTAAAAGGCCAGAGGTCAGAGGAGAGACCACCTGCACCATTAACCCTTCCTGTACAAGGAAACCTTAGTTTTAACTCTTGGGAATTTGAAGTATTTTCTCCCTTTTAATGTGGTTCCTTTGAAGCAAATAAAATATTTTCACACTTCAGTTATTTCCTCCTCTTGTTCCATGGTTTTGTGGCTTCTCCATTTGGTAGGAATATTATACCTTGGCAGATTTTAATTTGTGGTTATTATCCTGCTGAAGTTGCTCACAGCAACTGCTGTGTAAATGTTCACATTGAGAATCAAGCATTGTTTGAAGAGAAAATCAGCAAGGCAGGCAAATGGATACATTTGGAAAAGTCTTGAGGTTTTAGTAATTTTAGGGTGGGATGACAGCTTTTAAATATGATCTCACAGCAACATTGAAATGAAATCCTACACCCAAATCCTTAGTTCCTTTTCTTCAGCCAAATAGCATGCTGAGTTTTAAGTCTGAATTTAAAGGAAAAACCTGACCCAGAAAAGCATGCATAGCAAACCTTCATGTGAGTCATTTTTCCCCGGTTTTCTGAAGGGTTGTGTTTTTTTGGAACCTGTTCTCAGCAGGAGGAGATCGAGAGCTGCAAACACTTCGTCAGATGATGATTGATTTCCTGCAGAACCATTCCCAGGAGCTGAGACCTCCTGCTGGCCCACCACTGGATCCAGTGCTGTAAGTTCCTTGTTTTCAAATGTAGCTGCTCTCTGTTTACTCAGTTAATTAAATAGACTGTGGAAGGTTAAAAATCTTTAAAAAGTTTTTTTTTTTCTTTTTAATGCCAGTTCTGCAATGAGATTGTAAAAGGAAATTCTGTGTGTAACAGTGGATGTATTGCATTCTGTGCTAAATTGCTTTTCTTTTCCTCAAAGGTCCAGTGATCTCCCATCTCTTTTTGACAAGAACAGCCACCACTACACAGCCATTGTGTTTGAGAGCAACAGCTCCTACGTGGGCCGAGAGGTAACCTGGGACTTGTGAGGGACAGAGTGGCTGGGAGTGGATGTCACCATAAACCAGCTGGATTTGAGTTTATTTAGCCAAGCAACAACTCCCTGAATGCAGCTCTAGAGCAGGTCACACATGTTTGGGGGATCATAAAACCCAGGGATTATGTAGGGCTCTGGTGTTCACTCACACAGAGGAACTTGCTTACAAATGAATGTGATGTCTTATTGACTTCTTCCATTCTTATTTTAGTAGAAGGTTAATTTATCAGTTTCATTCTCAGCACAGTTTTCTTTCAAAAATTTGAAAGATCACAACAAAAATATTGCCAGATTACGTTATTGTTTTGTTGTTACTAGAGAACCATTTTTATTACTCGTTCTTTTGGACAACTGTTTGTAATAATCTAAACTCTCCAGTTCCCTTTCTTCACATATAAATTCTGGGAAATTAAGATGGTAGCATGAAATTATTTACCCAGTTCAGAAACACAGAGGAAGTGGAGGTCTTTAGGTTTTGCTTCCCAATAAAATATTTGATTGGGCACCATTTCCCCACGTAATGATGGCCAGTGTCATCATGAGTGGAGGAGGCTGTGCTGCCAAGAGTGGGAATCACTTTGGGATCAGGCTCCTTCCAGGCATTTGTTCTCTGGGAGCTGCTGTGGTGATGCAAGTGGGCATTACTGAAGAAATGTGAAGGTTATAAAGTTCCTCAGCTTTTTATCACACTGTTTTTATTATCTGCAGTTAGAGGGGAAGACTGAGTCATTTGATGAACACAAAGTGGAGTGTGCTTTCAGGATAAAAAATGTTTGTTAGTTTTATGTAGTATTTGAGCTTTATGGAATAGTTTAGTGAAACAGAAAATAGCATTGTTTTCATGTTTACAACACAAGACAAAATGGACAAACCTTCCCATACTGCTGAAGAAAAGGAGGCCATGTGTCATCACTGATGGAAGGAAGGAGGAAAAGAACAGAATAGACCAAGAAAAACTAAAATTTAAAAAAAGGAAAATAGGAGTAATAATTTCTAGAGAAGAGTAAATCTTCTTTAAGTGAAATTGTTTGTGTGCACAGAGCAGCCATAGCTGCACTTCCTGCAAACAGCTTAATGATGTCCTTAAAGGATGATGCTCTTCACCTGTTTATGTGTCTTGTCCTGCAGGATTGGCTGTTCCTTGAACAATTTATAATTCATGGCATCCTCTCATTACCCAGGTTATCTTAGACTTGGTCCAGTATGAAAACATCGTGGTGAGGAGAGCACTGAATTTTGATAAAGCTTTCCTGGAGAAGCTGGGGGTCACCTCAGTCCCCTCATGCTACCTGATACAGCCCAATGGCAGCCATGGATTAATTAACAAGTAAGCAATTATCTGTCAGAGGGTTATGGGGGTGTTCACTTCACTTATAAAAATGTCAAGATTTGGTGTCCTGACTCCTCATCAATACATTGTAGTGCCTGAGCTTGTGTGTTCCCTGTATTATCAATAAAAGAACTAATACTGCTTTTACTTATCACTGTTGCCTATTTATAGCTTCAATTTATTACTGTGATACTTCTGAAAGGAATAAAACTGTGGAGTAAAAGTGGAAAAAATAAATGAAGCATCAGAGTTCTTAAGAAAACTCATTTCTTGTGTAACGTGAACTGACATTTGGATAAACATTTGTTGGTATTTTGAATGGAATTTCACACCCCTAATCCAAGTGATTTGTTTTTCGTAAAGTGAACATTATTTCTTTTCACTTTGTATCAAAACAGGCCATGCTGCTAGGACTGTAAAACATAAACCAAAGTGAATATCTTATTTTATAAATGCAGTTATTTGCTTTGGACATTCACTTAGTCTGAGATTAAAAGTGATATCTCTTTGTCCATTTGCAGTTTGAAGCCTCTACGGTCTTTCTTCTCTTCATATTTAAAGTCTCTGCCAGGTGTAAGGAAAAAACTCCTTTTGCCACTGCAGCTGCCTGCTCCAGAAAACAAGGAGGAGAGCACAGAAGTCAAGGTGTGGAAGGAGTTTGATAAGTAAGTGATGCCCTTGATTTTTATACCTTTGGTTATTAAAAATTACCTGCAGCTTTTTCCTGCCACGTGTTAAGCTGTGCTATAATTTATTATAAAATCATAGAGCAGTTCCATATTTTACTTTATTTCACTCCAGTTCAATTGTGAGCAGCTTTTCAAACAATTCACAGGTGAAATTACTGAGGTGTTTTGGTTTTAGCAGCAAATGTCTGCACTGCTCTGGAAGGAATGTTTTTACCAGAAGTGTTGTGAAATATTCAATTGCCTTGAAAATGCCAAGGACTTATCAACCACAACCTGAAAGCAGTGATCAGTGTCCCTGAAAAAACACAGGGTAAAATACCAAGCTGTAACATTTCTGTAGGAGATTCTCTGTGTGTGCCATAGTGAGACAGTGCCCACTGGAAAGGGCTTGTCAAATGCAAGTACAATAGAAAATACTAAAGTCACTGTAAAAGATGTTTATCACCCCAAATCCCCTGAGGTTTATCTTCACCCTCTTTCCCTCTGTGAGAGGAGGATGCAAAGCCTTTGCAGAGAGATAATCCCTCAGCATCTTTAGATGGGAAAGATGTGGGACTGAGTGCTTTAATATAATACTTATTTTCCTTTCATGGACACTATTAGTGTCATCTTCTTTCAGTGACTATTATAAAATACTTTATATGGAACATTCAGTTAGCAAAACAACTTAGTTAAATTGAGCTGCTTTCCAGCAAGGCAAAATCTTGTTGACATGAATCTCAACTCCAAGTATCTTCTAAATAGGATCCTTTTGGAGAACCTCCTGCATTCATGTGGATGTCTCTTTATGTAAGAAACTTGAAGCAGAATTTTGCTGTTTTTTATAATTTAAGTGAGTACTTTATTAATTAAGGAGATAAATTCAGAATAAGTCTGTGGCTTAAATTAAATTATAGATGTAGTATATATGATTATAGATTATTCTGTCTTTTAATGTGTTCTTTCCTGCATGTTATTTAGGAAGTGGGAGCAGCCAGTTTTTTCAATGTTTGTTTTTTAATTCTGTTTTTTTTTTTTAGCAACAGCAATGCTGCTGAACTCTTACAAGAAGTGTGAGCTCTCTGAACTTCTGTTTGTTCAGTTCCATTGCTCTGTCTCACACTGCCTGAAAAGCACTGAAAGCTGGGGCAGTGTGCCTGCTGCATTTGTAATTTGTAAAGCAGGTTTAATTATGAAGATATTAAAAGCAGGTTTAATTATGAAGATATTTGCTTGTGAGAAGGAACTTGGAAAATGTTTTATTTGGTTTATATGGTTTACTTGTACCTGTCAGAACTCTTTGTCTTAAGAGCTGCTGTTTTTAACTGGGAGGTGAAGGACCTGCAGCAAAACTGCTGCATTTGGGAGAGGATTTCTAATCCAGTCCTTCCCAACAGTGACATTTCCAGTCTTGTTTGCACCCCTGCCCTGTGTGGGATCCCCTGTTGTTCAGAGCATGTCCTGTTTCTCTTTGTGGTCAGCCCAGCAGAGAAGCTGTAATTCCCTTACACCAGGGCTGTAATTTCATTACAAGGTAAAGCTGGCTGGGAAGCAAAAAGTTCAGTCAAATATTAAAAAAACCCAAACTTTCTCACGTGTGGTTGTGCCTCAATTGTCCAAACTCTGCCTGTGCCCCTCGGGCTGGGAGGACTCTGCAATCCCTGTGGGGTGGCCAGTGCTGGGGGGCTTGGATGCCACCTCCTCTCTCAGTTTGCCCTGGGGGAGTGGGGAGGGAAGGAGTGGCAGGAGCTCCAGGATTGATGTGTGTTCCAGGTCCAGGCTCTACATGGCTGACCTTGAGTCAGGATTGCATTTCCTGCTCCGGGTGGAGCTGGCCACGCACAAGGCACTCGAGGGAGCTGAGCTGAAAACCTTCAAGGACTTTGTCACCATCTCTGCCAAGGTAGGCGCTTCTGGGCTTTGATTATTTGTGGAGATGAAGTGACTCCACCGGAAAATTTATCGTGGGACATAAGTCTCTCAAAATGTCTTGCACAGTGTTTGAGCGTGTGCATCCTCAGTAGCTTAAAAAAGAGTCTGGTGGGTTTATTTAAAGGATATTTTTGAGGTCTTGTTTGCTGTTCTGACATACTTACGGGGTTAAAATGCAATTTAATTTCACCTTAGGGGGCTCAAATTAAATAAAGCTTAAGTAGTCTGCAGCATATTGAACAAACACTGTAAATATAGTCCATTTATCAGATTTTCAGGATAAGTAGCTATTGTTACTCAGTGGGATTAAACCAACCTTTGTTTTTCATTCTTGACTTTTGAATTTCATTAATGCATACTTGGCAAATGCTGTTCTATTTAGAGATGTTAGTAGCTTCTGTCTGAATTTTGAATATCATTGAGGTACTGATTTTGATTAAATAGGTATTCAAAAATAACTGAGCTATTGAATATAATTGAGTATTTAAAAATTTAAAATGCTTATGTGTTACATTTGCATAAAAAGAAAATACATATAATATAATGAGATAGGACTTGAAAAAAATTTAAATCATTTTGCTTTATAATGCCAGCTTCCTGAAATGACCAATATCTCTTTATTTTTACTCCCTGTGTAGCTAGCACTATGTTTTATTTTTAAAAAGTGAATCAATAACTCTTAAGGGAATAATAAGGCCTATATGAACCATTTCCAAATATCTGGGTTTATCTGAAAATCAGACAGACAGTTCCTTACCCAGCCAGCTCCCCCCTGCAGCCATCAGGGGTCAGAAATCTGCAGCTGGCCTCATTTCTTTAAGAAAGTGTGGTGGTAATCTTTCCATCATATTATCCCCAGAGCATCCTCTGCTCTTCCCTGTGGTTCCTGGCCAGCTGATGTCATTTGGTTCCCTGGCTGTTGATGATAAATGGGGAATGTTCTCTTTTAGGTGCTTGCTCATCTCCCCCTGCCCTGTCCCACCAGGGGTTGATATCCTTTATTTGCATTTTTTTTTTTTGGTCATGTAACATTTTCCTTGTTTCTCTCATTTACATTTTCAGGTGTTTCTGTTAGGGATTTTTTAATATTCTTCTCCTGTTTGTAGTGATGGTCAATCCAAAGGCACAGAGATCTCTGATTCCTGCATGGGGAATTTTCATGACTGAAATCCTGCTCTCTCTGAAAGGATCCTAAAGAATGACAGATACTTGACTTAATTCTGTAATAATTCTAACCCTCATTAAAGCAAAATAGCATTTCTGCTGTTAAATAGCAGAAATCTGCTATAATCTGTAAAATAATGGTCTTACCACTGATTTTCAGTTCCTCACACTCTTCTGCCAGGCTGTGGCTCCTGTAAGTTCTGAGTCAAGGAAGTCCCTGATTCCAGATCCCTTTGGAAATCACTGTTACACATGAAAGGAAAGTGTTCTTCTGGATAACAGCTCCTAAACCTACAGAAATCTGACTAAAAAGAACGACTTTTTGTGATTGGTCTTCCAAAAATGAGAAGGATTTCAGCCCTCTGTTTCACTGGGGTGTTTTACTCTGTTTTGAGCAACATTCTGAACTGAATTACCTTAATGTGAAATCCTAGATAATGTTAAGTTGTTCTGTAGCATTTCTGCCTGCTAAAAATTTTTAAAAAAATTTTAACATTTTGCACAAAAAAACTTGTTGAATTTTGTAAGCAAAATCTGGTGTGAGGTGGCTTTTTGCTGCAAGCAGAACAAGTAATTAATTTGCTCATCAGAAAACAAAATGAAGCATTTTACAGACAGCAAAAACGTTTGGATAAAACCAAAAGCGTCTCGTTGCTAATGAGATTTGTGCTTGAAAATGGTTTTTTCCATGTTTTTTTTTTTTATTTTTCTCAGCTTTTTCCTGGCCGTCAGCCTGTGGTGAAGTTGTTAGAGACCTTGCAGGAGTGGCTGGTGAGCCTTCCATTAGACAAAATCCCTTATGATGCTATCCTGGATCTGGTCAACAACAAAATGCGGGTAAGCTGTTCCCAGTTCCAGCATAAAACAGGGCATTAGGAAAGGATAAGATTCTATATCAATCTAAGACATCACTTACTGCTGCTCCCCCAGTCATAATGGAGTTATAAGAAGGTTAAAATGAAAATAAAGTGAAATCATTAGCAGAAAAAAAAACAACCCGCATCCACACAAAGAAATTGAAATGAGAGAATTGAAACGTGCAATCCTGGCTGGGTTTTATAATGAGCAAGCAATACTTGTTCCCTAATGTCATCCCCAGGGATGCAAGATTCCCAGAGGATATTTCTGACTTTGCTGTGCCTGCTGTCAGCAGGATTCTCTTGAAGGTCAGAGTTTAAGTGATGGGAAATTTACCCACTGAAATGTGCATTATTCCTGAAGAGTTTCCTCAAATAGTCTCTAATTTCCCTGCTGGAATCCCAGCCCACTTTGGCAAAGCCCTGCCAGAGGGTTGTTTTTGCACAGAACTTAACAATTTCTTCCCTATTTCTGCCTGACATTTGAAAGCCTCCTGTGTGTTTTAGGAAGAGGAGAGAAAAGTCTCAGAAATTAAAATCTTGCACTGGGTTTCAGATGCAATGAATAAGAAGTGGCTTTGTTCCAAGAAGAAATAATATGGAATTTTACAGCCAGTTAAGGCTTTACTCTGTAAATCATGTAAACTTCGTGGAGTAATAGGGAATTTTGGATGTGCCCAAGGGAACTCTGGTAGTGTACAAGAATATTTTCATGTGTTGTGTTCTTAAAAAAAATCTTCACAGGTTAAACTACTTTGTGTGTTCTGTCAGACTGATTTTAGTAGTTTTGATGTCAATGACTGAACAATTTGTCTCTTGTCCAAAAGGGATGAGTTTCATGATGATGCTTCAGAGTACCTGAAACATGAGGATTTGTGTTTGCCTGAAGCATGAACTGATTACCAAGTGCAGAAAGCCATTTTTTGTTCTTTTCACTGGATCACCTCAGTTCCATGTGGGATCAGCAGTGCTGCCAGACCCCAGAGCAGCACAGCAGCACATACCTTAAATACATCTCTTTTTTTTTTTTTTTTCTTTTTTTTTTCAGATTTCTGGGATATTTCTCCCCAGGAAAGTGCAGTGGGTTGGCTGCCAGGGCAGCAGACCAGAGCTGAGGGGCTACAGCTGCTCCCTCTGGAAGCTGTTCCATACCCTCACTGTTCAGGCTGCACTGAGACCAAAAGCTTTGGTAAACACAGGTGAGCAGCAAATATTTTTTGGTGTGTAAATCCTCAAGGAATCAGTTTGTGGAAGAGAGTGGCTGCAAGGCTGCACCAGCAGGGGTCAGAGCTTGGCTGCAGCAGATTTAGAAGTGTGCTAAATAAAGTGTGTGGCCCTAAAGCTGGGAGTAATAAAGCAGAAAAAAGGAAAAAAAGGAAAATAGAATTTCAAGCAAAGAAATGTTGAGCTCCCTGAAATGGGATGAAAATGATTCAGGTTACCTGAGGTTGCACTGGGAATGAAATTTGAGGAAAATGAGGTTTAACCATACAGTTCAGTAGCTATAAAAGATGTACAACCATTAGCTGATCTTCTGTAATGTTATTTCTTAAATACTGCATGTTGCAACTTTTTGGTTTATTTTTTTTTTTTCCCAGCTGAATGTACCTGTCATTAATCCCTGCAGTGATTTACAACTTCTCCAGCACTCTGTAAAATTGCTCATTTTTAGACTTGCAGCATCTTGTGAAGCTGAGTGTTGATATTCTGGTGATGATTCCTGTTTAAGAAACGTGCTGGTTATAAAATCTATTCTCTTCACCCAATGAAAATAGAACCACTAATGCTAAAAGTTTGGGTTTTATTCTTGCCAGGACAGTGCTTTGTTTGGTTACAATTCTGTTTAGTTTTCATTTAAAGCCTTTTAAATGTCTTTTCCAAGGAATATGAGAATTCTACATGGACATCATAAAACTCAGAAATTTTCAATTTACCATTTGCTGATTGTATGTTTTAAAGGATTTTATTATTTCACATTATAGATCCATACATTTGTCCAGCATTATTTGCAGAGTGAAAATCCTTCAAATCTGAATAATTCTCCTGCAGAACAGGCATTTTTTGATAGCAAATCGTTCTGTTGTTGATTTTTGTTTCTCTTTTGTTTGTTTTTCATGGGGCAGTAGACTGAATTTCTTCAATTTAGTGCAGTGAGTTTGAGGGGTTTGTGCTGGATGATTTTGAGCTGTTCAGCAGGATCCTGCATAACTTAAATTTCCCCTTTTTAGTCCCAAAGTGTTCTGATTAAAGCCATTAAATCTTAATATTTAACTACTCAAAATTGCCCCTCAAATTGTGTGTTTCAGGCACGAGCCTGGAGTTAAAAATACACTGTAGGACCTGAGAACTCTTTGGCACAGTTAACCCTGGCTGTAAATCGGGCCAGATATGTGATGATCACTTCTTATGGTGAAAGAATTGGGTCAGTCTGAGACTGTGGGATTATGTCTTGGGAGGTTTTCCTCTCCTTATTGCTTGTTTAAATCCCATCTACTAAAAAGCATGATGTACTCCCTAATCCTTCCCACCACAGGTAGGGTTTTATGGTTCTTGTCCACTTTAAAGATTAGGGTTACCCTGAATTGCAGTAGTTTGGGAGGAAAGAGAAAAGGAGGATTACACAATGATACATGGCAGATGTTAATAGAAGATTCATCTCGGGGCTGATAAAAGAAAAACAACCAAAATGAGCCATTTTGCAATTGTTTGCTTTCTGAAGCAGATGGATTTCTCTTGATTGTCCCCTCTGCTCGAGGGCCTGGCACTCTGGGTGAACTCCCTGTGGCTGTCTTGATAAAATGATTTTATTGGGTTATGTTTGATACATTTTAATAGAGGAAATAGGATAGGAAAATCTGAACCTGCAGTGGGAGTAGCAGGAGAGATCCAGAGGAACTCAGGACAGAGCTGCTCGCAGCCAAGGATGTGTAAAATCATTGTAGAAATCATTTCCTGAGCACACTTCATGACAAGAAATGTGGATTTAGGTAACAGGATGTCTTGGTGTGAACAGAACAGGCCTGTGGATTTTATAATAAATTATCTGGCATTTAAATCTAGTGCTGAGTTTGACAGATTTCCCCACAAAATGAATTTTCAAGCATGTAACATTGTACAGGAGAACAGATGAAATTAATTTTGTGTATATATCTCTTGTTTCTCCACAAAGAAATAATTTGCTGGTTGTGTTTATTGTTCTTCCTAAATACAATTTCAGTATAAATGGTAAAACTATTCTCCCTGAAATTCGTTTTAACTTCCAAAATAATTTTCCAGCCTTTCTTTTCATGCAGAAATTTAATCTGCTTTAATCTCATACCTTTTATTTATACATGTCTGTTCAATCACAGATATTGAATGGCTGAGGAGAAATCATGGTTTCTTTAGACTAAAATTTCTTTTGGGTTTTAAATACTTATTTTTGCTGCTATTGTTCTAAATAAAGATGTTGATGACAGCCTTTATATATTTCCCATATCTATAACAGATGAGTGCTCTGATAGTTTGAGCAGGTTTTGTTGATTTTTTTTTCCAAGAAAACAAAGCAATAGTAAATTATTCGTGGTGTTCAGCAGCAGGAGTCTGTAATTTGATCAATCTGCATCATAAAATGTGTTTAATTTGACAAATGTGTGCTCGTGGTAACACACAGGACATTTTTAAATACATTTTGACATAATTTACTGGGTCAATTAAGCATGAATCAGAAATTCTGTGCGACAGAGATGAAACCATTAGGATTTCAACAAATTATATCAGGTTTTCAAGGCACTTAGGGATGTGAGGAGCTACCTGCTGACACAAGAAAGGCCACAAAGTTCTCAGCCTGTGCAGGCCTCATCTTCCTGCTGAATTCATTATTATTTTGCATTATCTTTAGTGAATGTTATCAGAATAATCACGTGTTTGTGTTTATTTTAGGAGGAATTCCTGATTTATTCTCCAAAGTGTTGCTCAGCAGCTGCTCTGTGCATTCAGAGCTGCCAAAAAAACCGTGGAATTAATAATTTTAATGAGATTTTGGTGCTCTCTAATTCCTCAGAATTGAGGAGTAACAAAGAGCCCTCACAGGCACCTTGTGCAGGACTCAGGGGGTTTGACTCTTGATTTTTCAGTAGCAAAGTCACCATAACTTCAGTGCCTGGCCATGAATATAGAGGTGAATGCATAATATAAACATTCCTTTACATATTGGGCAAGAGCTTGGAAAAATCTCTAATTCCACATACACAAAGTGTGAATTTTGCATATTTTAACAATTTCACAATGTTCTCTGATAAAAATAATGTCTGGTTTTCATTAACTAAGATTGGTTTTCCCCTGAAATTTTAAGATAAATATAATTTCTAAGATAAATAAAAATTTTAAGATAAATATAATTTCTTCTGAAAGAAGAAATTGCTCTGTAGAGACCACTTGACTTTTATTTGGTGGCAGTGTTCAGGGTAGCTTTGAGCACAGTTGTGCAGGCTGAATGAGTTGCATGTGTTGGTTCAAACAGCCACTTCAAACTGCAGAAGTGATTAATTTCAGATTCATTTCAGCTCAGCTGTCAATTCTATGGAACAAGAAGGGAGCAACTTTTCCTTTCCTTCTCCCCCTGCCCTTCCCTGCTCTTGGAGCTGAGTCTGTCCCTTGTCTTGCAGGCCTTGAGGACAGCCCCCAAATCGTGCTGCAGGTGATGAGGAGATACATCCAGCACTTCTTTGGCTGCAAGGCTTGTGCCCAGCACTTTGAGGAGATGGCCAAAGAATCCATGGATTCTGTGAAAAGCTTGGACCAGGCTGTTCTGTGGCTCTGGGAGAAGCACAACGTGGTCAACAACAGGCTGGCAGGTAGGGGAGAGAAACTCCTGAGCCAGGGCTGGTAGAGAAGGAAAAACATCCTTCTCAGAGCTGGTTTCTTCTGAGATTTCACCTGTTGCTTGGTGAGGCTCTTTCTGGAGCACAAATCACAGGAGCAATTCAGCTGCTTAGAAGTGGATAAAAAAATAATTGCATTTTTTTTCTGTACCGGTTTAGGGTTAAAACCTGCCTTTGTTTTGTTTTGGGAAATGATGGCAATTGAACAAGAGGCTTCCTCTGAATAAAAGAGCCTCAACTCTTGGCAGATCAGCAGCTGAATAAAATAAAATTACTGTATAAAAGAAATCTGTGCCCCCTCCAGATCCCTGTGTTTTCAGCTGAGAGTGCTGTTAAAATACTGGTTGTGTTTAATCCATTCTGTTATGGAGGTATCAAGTAACTAAAGCACTAAAGAAAATTGGTTTCTCTTTGCACTAAATCCCTGTCTGCTGTTATGGATCTGGGTAATGCAGCATTAGTTACAATTTCAATATGCTACATTGTGTTCATATTATGCTCCTGCTGCATTCCCAAGATTTATGAAGAATTAAATACTGGTGTGAGTACAAACAGTTTGCCTCCTTTCTCTGAGGAGAAAAAAAGGTAAATAATAAGAGATTAAATAAAAACATCCTCTAATTTTGGTTCCTGTAACAGGCAACTCCTGTGGACTTGGAGTGGCCAAGTGGTGGAGCAATGCACTTATTTAGAACATTAAGGTATTGGAAAACTCACATGGATATTGATTTAGGTGATGCAGCAGCCAGCTAAAATACCCTTTTAGTAAGAAGTATAAACACACTGGAATAAATAATAATGTTAAATTATGCTTTTTCAGTTTGCTAAAATTTCTCTGTGGGACAGTGATGTATTTTTACCCTTAAAAGCTGCATCTGTATTTGTGGTGCTGTGTGAGAAATGATGTTTGGTCAATGAAAACACCTTGGGGTGGGGGTCAGGAGGTGCCTGGATATGGCTCTGCCCTATTGAATTATTCCCTGTTCCTTTGGAATGCACAGGATTTACAGCATTCCCCTCTTTTGGCAGGAACACACAAAGTACAGGGAGCTTTCTGTTTGTAGCCTTGCTGTAATACATTTTGTTTCTGCATTTTTTATTGAAACAAATTGATTGCTGTGTGATCTTTAGGATAAAAAAACCAATTTGCTCTTTTGCTCGTAAATATCAAGGAGACAAATATTTTTAAATGTCTTTTGAATCCCTGTTTTACCCAAAATCATGGGGAAATTTCCTGCTTTTAAAACAAAATAAAAATAATGAAATGAGAATAAATTGCAATATTATTATTTCTAAAATATTTTAAATGCTAGTGTACTAATCAGGTTAATAAATTAGGGGTTTTACCAGGTGAAGATATTTTTTCTAAAAATTATCTCCATTCACATTTTAGGATATTGTTTTTTAGAGCAAAGTGTGAGAGCAGCTGCATCATTCAGCTCAGAAACGTGGCCAGAGCTGTGAGCATCTGAAATGTTAAAATTAGATCTAATTCAAGACAGTGTCACATATTTAAAGACTTGGTTTTTAGCTGAAAAATACAACTTAAATATGAACATGGCTTTTAAAATACTGCAAACAATTTGTTCTGGTAATGGTGCAGAGCTGTGGAAAAGCAAGCTTGGCATGGAATGGTTCACAACACAGAAAATGAAAATATCTGAGTGTCTGGCCTTGGAGCTGCTCTTGCAAACCAGGCAGAAAACAGGGATTAAGGAGTGAAAAGAGCAGTTTGTTTTGCACCATAATTCAGGTTAACCCTGCAGGGCCCAGACTGTTGTGTGTTCCTGCCTTCTAAAAGCAGCAATTGCAGGATTTGGGGTTGGGATTGAAAGGCTGCAGCTTTTACTGTGAGAAAAGGGAAATCATTGTGAGTTAGTGTTTGTATCTTGACGTGTTTGGGGTCAGAATTGATGAGAAAAGTTCCAATTTTTTTTTTTTTTGTGTAATTCAGTAGTTGTGCTGTGGCTTTTTATGCCAACCTCAGTGGAAGTGGAAAGCACTCCCTGGGCAGTGCCTGTTGGTGCAGCTTTCCCTCTCCATTCCTCCTGACCTTTTTCCATTTATATTTTTCCCTTCCCAATTAGGTGATTTGACCGAAGATCCAAAATTCCCCAAAGTTCAGTGGCCAACTCCAGACATCTGTCCTGCGTGTCATGAAGAGGTCAAAGGGCTGCACAGCTGGAATGAAGACCAAGTCCTGCAATTCCTGAAATCCCACTACAGCAGTGACAATATCCTCTATAAATACACCCAGAGCCAGACTGACCCCAGTGACAACGAGCAGGGAGACACAAGAGAGGGGAAAGACACAAACCTGCAGAAGAACTCAGGGGGAAATGGAGAAAAGCAGCTCCAGGATAAGGAGAACCCAGGGGATCCAGGCTCCAAGGTGTTGGAGAAGCCAGTGGGAAATCCTGGAGCTGTCCAAGGTAGCGGCAAAAACGCAGCTGCATCCGTGAGCCTCAAAGGGACCAGGCAGGCTGTGTCCTTCCTGGGGATTGGATTTTCCAACCTAGACATGAGTCTGTGTGTCATCCTCTATGTGGCATCATCCTTGTTTTTAATGATCATGTACTTTTTTTTCCGGGTGAGGTCCAAGCGCTGGAAAGTGAAGTCTCACCGTTCCTCGGTGTAGGAGTTCTCGCTGTTCGTGGCTGTTGGGTCCCAGACACAGCTTTAATATTTATGATCAGGGATTTTATATGCAGTATTCCTTGGGTCAGACCCCTTTCTTCCCAAGGCATTTCCCAGGTGTTCAGCTGAACAAGTGGAGCTGGCCTTGAGATCCCCAGGCTTTGCCCAAGGCCACGTCCATGTCCTCACCTGGGAGCGTTGCATTTGGCAGTTAAGGTTTTTCCATGACTTCCCACCAACATCCTTTACTCATTTCCAGAGTAAACATTGCATTATGCAATCCGCTGTGCCTGCTGGAGAAGGAAATTGGATATTGTTTTGTGTATTTTCAAGTCAGGTGTTTGGGTTTTTTTTAATTCATCCAGAGCTGACTTCACCTCCCCGAGTGCTGAATGGTACCTTGGCTGCTTCACTGGGAGAAGCAGGAATTCTGATGTTTCTTTTCAGGAAACATGAGTTCTCTTCTGATTAAATCAATTCTAAACCTCTGTGACTTTCTGTAATGTTATTTACATATTTAAAGTAGGAAGCATTTAATGTTCAAATCATTCATCCATTCTCTGGTGCATTCCAGCCAAGGATATGTGTGTGTCATCACTAGGATGAGAGTTTTGGGGCACAATTAGCAGCCTGATGCTGATTGCTAAGTAATTATGGTATTATCCAGGTGGAAACCAATCATGATGAACTCTAGGAAAGGAAAACTGTTTTTAGTGAAGGACAGCAAGGTTTGTGTTACCGTGGCAGAACAGGTTGGAAAATCTACAAATACTGAGTTTCTTCTGTTGAATTTCTCCTGAGTTTCTTCTGTTGAATTTCTCCATCACAAGAGAACAATTAACACTTCCCTTGGTATTTCCACCCAGAGCTGCCGTGTTCTGGGATGTCCAGTTCCCTCTAGAGCTCAGTGTGGGTACTTGGAGCAGCAGTGAGAAGAAATCATGAAAACATTTCAAAATCATCCTTGGGAGTAGGAGTTGCAGTGATGCTGGCTGGGGGGGATAATTCACGTCCTGGATAGTGAAGTTTATAATCCTATCCAATGTAATTGAGCATGTTCTAGTTATCCATTACCTAATCTTTAGTTAATCCTAATAGGTTTTGGCCTCAATGTTTTCTCGTGGCAGTGAGTTCTCCAGATTAATTATGTTATATAAAAGGGCTTTTCCTTTCAATTCTACATTTGCAACTTTTAATTTAATTGAATGTTTGCTGGCTCCTCTGTTACACGAGAAGGAATAAGGAGTCCCTGGCCAATTCCCTGGATTTATACCATTGGTGTGTCCTCCTCTGAGGAGAAAGAGAAAAGTTCAGAAAGTTTGAAGCCTGGCAACAAAAAAGCACCAAAACTCCACAGGTTATTTTCTCACAATCAAACACTGGCTGTTAACAAAACTGAGTATTTCTGAGGTGTCTCTGCAGCTTCCAGCTGGAATGGCAGAACTGAGCTGCAAAGATTCACTGCCCCTTGTAGCTGAAGTTTATCACAGTAACACTACAGCTCCACATGGAGGAAAAGCTTTCTGGGGCTGCTGTGAGCAGAGGCAGAAATCTCAGTTCCCATGACCCTGTCAGTCCAGCATTCCTGCAGAGGGGCTGGGTCTGTGCCCTGAGGACCCTCAGAATTCCAGAGTTCTGGCAGAAGGAACCATCCTGGGTCTTTCCTCTTGGCCCTTTGTAATTCATGGAGCTTTCTTTGCTCTTGGATGTTTTCAAACAGGAAGTATTAAAATAAAAGGAGTAGGATGTACCAGGAGAGACAAAAGCTGCAAGTGCTAAAGAAACCTGATGAAGTTATTTGTGAGAACTCCTAATTTTCTGTTTCCAGCAGTGCATCCACCCTGCTGTTCCTGCACAGAACTGGATGGGAACAAAGGTCCCAGGTGTGGTGTTGCACACGAGGTGTTGAAAACAGTGACAATACCATTTCAGTAATTTAAATGTTCTATTTATTTGAAGTCAATAACTTGACATTTCCAAGTCTGTTCTGGTTGGGTTGGGTTTTTACTGTCTCATTCCTCTCTTGGAAGGAAAAGTGACTGTTTTGTACTAAATTGTAAATTAATGTGCTTGTTTAAAATAAACTGCAAACGTTTGGGCAAAGTGGATGCATTTGGGCTTTTTATCTGTGTTTGCAAATTGTTTTGAGCTGAACTTTTTTGGCAGGACATCTCATGAACATGTCCATGATCAACCACATCCATCCTCTTGGGGAGGTGTATTTTTAAGCTCCGACTTCTCAGGAGCTGCTAAAGAACCTGAATGAGGGAAGAGAAAATAAACCAGGAAGAAACAAATGTTTGAGTGGGTTGGTTTTTATTAATGGTTGTTTTTTATTAATGGCAGAAGCCCAAGTGAGGAAGGCCATGGGCAGGTCTGGTGCCTGCTGGCCCCTGATCAGGAGGGCACAGGAGGGTGTGCAGGGAGAGATCAGCACAAGGGCTTTTGGGGGGTCCTGGATGTCACAGCGTGAGAGACCACGGGGCTGGCAGGTGCCACTGCTGGTCCTGATGGGACACAGCCCTGGCTCTGTCCTGAGTGTGACACAGCCCTGGCTCTGTCCTGAGTGTGACACAGCCCCTGCCCTCTGTCACAGCCCTGGCTCTGTCCTGAGTGGGACACAGCCCTGGCTCTGTCCTGAGTGGGATACAGCCCCTGCCCTCTGTCACAGCCCCTGGCTCTGTCCTGAGTGGGACAAAGTCTCTGCCCTCTCTCCTGAGTGGGACAAAGTCTCTGCCCTCTCTCCTGAGTGGGACACAGCCCCTGGCTCTGTCCTGATGGGACACAGCCCCTGCCCTCCCTCCTGCCCGGCCACAGCTGCCCCACCCCTGCCCCGTGCCCGGGGGAACCGGCACCACCACACACGGGTTTGCTCAAAGTGCTTCCTTACAGGCTCAGACTAAAAATCCACTTCAAACCCGAGCTTAAAAGGGACCGTGTGGATCATCAGCTGTCCCCAGAAGATGCTGATGGCCCTGGGGAGGGCCAGTGATGGTGCTGGTGCCACCTGGTGTCACTGCTCACGGTACCAGTCCCACTCGGGCAGGACCTGGACCCCAACTCCCGCCTGGCATTCCTGGGTGCTTTATTTGGGGACCCCAGTCCTGGTCCCCAGAATGTCTCCCTGCATTTCCCAGCCGCACAGGGCCGAGCTGTCCCGCAGACTGGAGCTTGTCCCCGGCCAGATGAACCATCCCAGGGGCCAGCCCCGACCCGGCCCTCGGCCCCGCAGGACCCGGAGGAGGGGAGGGTGCTCTGGGCTGGGTGCCTCGGGGTCCGGGGCTCGCTGAGGGCTCCCCGGCCGCCCCCAGGAGCGGGCGAAAGTCCCGGTGCTGCCGTCGGCAGGAGCATATGTGAGTTTGGAGGCTCCCGCCCCTAAGCTGCTTTTATTAATTTGTAATCCCCTGCGAGCAGGAGGTAAAGGGATTCGGGGGATTAACGGGCTCACAGTAACAACCACAATTATCAGCTCCTGCTGCCTGCGGCAAGCGGTGCACACACGCACGGGGCTCCCCCGGACAAACACGGAGCGCACCGAGAGCTCCGCACACGGGATCGCGAGGTGCCGTGGGACGGGACACAGGCACAGGCTGCGGGCAGGGGCACACGCACCCCGCACCCGTGAGCACGGCCAGAGCCCGGCCCGAACCCCCGAGCTCCCGCAGAGCCCCGGGGACAAACCCCGCACGGCCCCGCGTGTTCCGCGCACACACAACTCCGCCCGTGTCCGCCCCGTCTTCAATTAGCGCAATTAACCTCCTGCAGCCGCTGGCCGCGGGTCAGGCACCCGCTACCTCTGTGCGTTCGTTAATTAATTAGCGGAGGGGAAAAAAAAACCCCGCTGCCCACGGGTGGCGTCGGGGGAGCCCCGCACCGCGGGGACAAACGAAATCTGGGCTAGGAGGCGGCCGGCGGGCAGCCGGGCCCGGGCGGAGGCTCCCCCCGACGGCGGCTCCCCCGACCCTCTTCGTGCGGCCGCCGGGGGATTCGCGGGGGCCCCGGGGCCGCTTTGCACCCGAGGGCGGCGGCTGCAGCCCGAGCCCACGCGTGGGACGGCGGGGACAGCGCTCCCCCGGCCGCTTTTGTGATGCTAAAGAGCCCGGCGCTGAACCGCGGCCCAGCTGCGGCCCGGTGCCGCCCCCGGCCCGCCCCCCGCGCC